CGGAAGCGATCAAAAAGGCGCCGCAGTACAGCAGCCGGCGGACGATCATTTACGTGATGGCAGGAAGGTAATTTTGTTTGCTCCTTCGTTTACTAACTACACTTCACACCCTTTTGACTTGCGCGTCACCGTCGTGAACTGTTTTCACGTGATTACATTGCAACCCACGCGCCATACACGTACTAATTAATTCTTGCTTGGCATTGGCGTCGCCCATTTACGAAAATATCCTCCTTACAGGTACGAAGAGAAGAATCTCAAGGTGGGGAGGAAGAAAACCAACTTGATGTTCGTCGGGGACGGGAAGGCTAAAACGGTCATTTCGGGTGATAAGAGCATCTTCGACAACGTGACGACTTTCCACACCGCGTCGTTTGGTAATAATTCTCCAAATTCAATTATTTATTAGTTATTTACTTCCATTCTTTTTTTTTCTTTTTCTATTTCTTTATTTTTTGACCAGAATAATTTTCGTGGTTCTTAAAAATGACTTTTGCGTTCTTGAGAAAAAGAAAAAAAAAAAAAAGACAGCCCACGTGTCAATGCTCTACCGGGAGAGCCCTGATTGCATTCCCACGTGCCGCCTCATCATCTCCTTGATCTCCATGTAGACCAAATTACCCTTCTATTATTGCCCCAATTACCCTCTCTCCTTTTTAAAAATTAGCCTTTGTAGGCAAGAAGTGGAGGTCAGAACACATGCCACAATTTCAGATTCATTTCTCTAATTAAATTAAGCAATTAATCATATATATAAATTATATATTTATCCATTTATTAAACCCCACCATTTGGATTGGATATACACTGTTTAAATTAATCAATCTTCACGTCCACTGGTCAATTGCATGAGAATATCATTAAATTTTGGAGACCCGTCTGAGATCTTTTAATTTTCGTCACAGCTGCTACCGGCGCTGGGTTAATCTTGAGAGACATGACATTTGAGAACTGGGCCGGGCCAGGCCGGCACCAGGCAGTGGCGCTCCGGGTTGGCGCCGACCATGCCGTCGTGTACCGCTGCAACATAATCGGCTATCAGGACACTCTCTACGTCCATTCGAACCGCCAATTCTACCGGGAATGTGACATTTACGGGACCGTCGATTTTATCTTCGGCAATGCGGCGGTGGTGTTCCAAAACTGTAGCATTTACGCCCGAAAGGCCATGGATCTTCAGAAGAACACCATCACGGCCCAAAACCGGAAGGATCCGAATCAGAACACCGGCATCTCCATCCACGCCTGCCGGATTCTGGCCACCTCCGATCTCACGGCGTCCAATAGTAGCAACCCGACATATCTGGGCCGTCCGTGGAAATTATACTCTAGAGTCGTTTACATGCTATCATACATCGGCGGCCACGTGCACCCACACGGTTGGCTAGAGTGGAATGCCACGTTCGCTTTGGACACGCTGTATTACGGTGAGTATATGAATTATGGGCCGGGTGGGGCGGTGGGCCAGCGGGTCACGTGGCCCGGGTATCGGGTCATAACGTCCACGGTGGAAGCGAACAAGTTCACGGTGGCGCAGTTCATTTACGGCTCGTCGTGGCTGCCGTCCACCGGAGTCGCGTTTCTCGGAGGGCTAAATGTGTAATTTCGCTAATTGTATTATATTAATATAAAGATGGTAATAAAGAAAAAAGTCGCAAAATCCAAAGGGAGGAAAAAAAAAGGTGGGTAAAAAGTGTCGGCATAAAACACCATATAGTAGTGAAGATTTTTTTTTTCTCTTTTCATTTTATTTTATTTTTGGTGAATGTATGAATATTAATTTATGTTCCATTTTTTCCCTCTTAATTGTATTGTAACTGAATACTATTATCTGATTTTTTATAATATTAGTAACGCGTTCGAATGTCATAATGTATGTGGTTTTTTTTTTTCTTTTTTTACATATTGGATTACTATTTTTTGGGCATGTCATTGTATTTAATTAGAAAAACTTTTAATAAATAACTTTTCCTTTATCTTTAGTGATTTTGATTTTTAAAGTAAAAAATAATAATTATTCAAATAGTGACATTTTGTTTAAATGTTGGTATTACAATTAAAAAAAGAAAGAAAGAAAACAATAAATAGCCGTAGAAAGGGAATTGAAAATCCACTATTTTAAGTAAAAATTTAAAGAGAGAGGAAAAACTTGCCCTATGGGTTATTGGCCTTGACTTTTCCACTAGGGGTTTAATTTGTTAAAATTTATGAGTTCCTTTTTCCTTTTTCTAATCTAGGATTTGGCAGTGATTCAAGCCATTTGTAAAGATCATGGTTAAAAAAGATTTAAAAAGAAACTGATAGTCACCCCTTCTTTTTTTTACTCAATCCTAAAAACTTCAAAATTAAGCAGGTCTTTACTCTTCTTCTAAGTAGTTGGTGGCGTTGGGATAATTAGGTGTTGAATCCTGAGCTTGAGGTATTACACTATTGATATTGAAAAATTTACTTGAGTTTTATGAACAGTTTTGAAGGATGCTTTCATCTGGATGTATAGTTGGTTGAGTTCTGGTTTTTTGTTTTCATATTTTTAAAAAAATGAAGGTTAATTAAAGTAGGACAAGAGAAATCACGAGAGGAGAGGCGAGGTGCATGGAAGCAAAATAAAAGTAACTTTCAATTCAATAATGGCGGTGGCGGTGGCGGTGCCGGTGAAGCGGTGTCGGTGGCCAATGATGAATCTTGAAAAGACAGTGCCAAATTAAACACTAGACAGTACAATGCAAGTCTACAACAACAACCCCTAATTTTTGCATTTACTTTACAACCTAACCCATTCTCCCCTACCCATCACCATCAATATTTATTGCCCTTTTAAACAACATTTTTTTCAAAACGTGCTAATCCCATCGTAGCTTAGTTGATAACACATAATTCTCAAACTAAAATGATCTATTCTTAAGACTGTTACCGAAACTCCGAAATGGCATGACCATTATCAAGACAATCTCTCCATCAATATTCAACCACACATTAGTCCCTGTAGTTAATAGGTAGAGTACATTTAGAAATTTGTCCAATACCATTTCTTATAAATAAAATTTAAAAAAAAAAATTCTCAACGTTAAATTGCCTAATTGTCTTCCACGTCATCTCTTTGATATTTATGTCGAACATCCATATATATTTTATGAAATTTTGTGTGGTTTACAGGTTTGAACTTGAAAATATTGTTTTACATATTAGCTAAATCATCATTCCAAGATGTATGGCCTCCTTTTATTTTATGGATGATTTGTGTTGGATTCGTTGATCTTTGTTTATAATCATTTGTTGAGAATCATGAAATTTGGACGATCGTTAATTTTATGTTTATTTTTGTATAGAATTTCTGGTTCTCTTTCGCGCACACATATTGAAGGGTACCTCTCACTCTCATTATTGTCTAAATTTGGGTTTTATGGAATTGGCATATTTTGGTGCCTTCAATTATTAGATTGGAGATGATAGATTACAAGTGAAATAAATTATTGTACTTCTAACTTCCAAAGATTAAGCTTGTTTACAACTGCTCCAAATCGATTCAATGGTCGTTAAGACAAGTAAAAATAACAGAATAGAGTTTGAAGAAGTAAGTTTTAACTTCTTAATGTGAAGCACCCAAGGAAATTGTTGTGTGAGACTGGAAATATCAGTTTGTTTGATCAAGACTTTTTCCCTGCAAAACCAATATAATTCTTCCCAAGTTAGTCGTGACATTTCACCACAATGTCTTAAGATTTTCATTTTCTTGAGAAAGTTTCTTCTGAGAGAATTGTATGATAGCACTCCAGTCAAATAATGAATACATGAACTCTTTGAATCTTGATAGTTGAACTTCAACCTATGATCAAGATTCAAGTTTAAAACTTTCTATGCACGTAATGAAACTCACTCTAGTGTTCAGCTAATGCTTTCAAATCTTCCTAAATATCAGCAGCTTTGGCTCCCAACATACAATGCCTGATTCTATTCATACAAAAAATATTCCAAACCCACAAAGCAGTAAATCAGGAATTACACCCATAGTGATCTACAAAATCGTACTGATCAACACGCAAACCTGTATGCAACTGGTGTCTGAAGATGATGAACGGATAGATCAGAGGTAAGATGACTGCAGATTTCACGGAATGACTCTTCTTCACGAGTGACTGAACATGAACTCTCGCATCGTATCTTGCAGTTGTTGTCACAGCATTCTCATTGACATTGTCTGGAAACCAGGAAAGAGAAAACCTTCTCGGATTGATTGAAATCTACTACATGTCTGAATCTTCAACTTCTGTGCTGGCAACAAAACTTGGGAATGCCATGGTTATATCCCTGGAATCCATGGAAGTAGTATTAAAGCATGCTAGAGATTATAGAAAACTCAACCAATGATTAGCAAGCATTCTATCAGCAGGTTCGACATTGCTTACACTCATCATTACGTACTTTAAGTATGGTAATGTCATGTTCTTGATCAATGATGGATGCTTCATCACAAACTCCCTCCACTCTTCTTGATCAATTTTTCCATCACCATTCGCGTCTGCTTCATTAAATGTCTGTAGAAGACAAGAAGAGGAAGATAATTCTCGAATGCGAACAGATAACAAAAATGCAAGATACAGAATCAGGCATTAAAGACCTTTTCCACGATTGTTTCAATGACGTCATCCGAAAGAATCAACTCTGATTCATGTAGAAGTGCCAAAACCATTTCCTTCAACTGTGGGAACAAGAATGAGACCATAAGTTGGAGGAAAGTCTTTACTCCAAATTTCATGGTTGACTGTGCAGTATAATTCGTTTACTGAACAGAGCTAAAAAAAAGTGATATTTTCGAAAACGATCAACATAAAATTTTGTCGAAAATGATGCATTCATCAGAAGGATTCTGCACATGAACACAAGAAACTACAGAAGTCACCTCTTCTTGCTCTATAAACCCTGTCTGCCTCAAATCATATAGCCTAAAAGCAACTGCAAAGTAAAATGTAATTGTCAGTATGTCCTTATAAGAATCTAATTCACTTTTGTCTTTTATTAACCAATATGGAATATAAAACATTAAAATAATAATATCAGTAATAGTTCTCACATGTAATTTTGTCTTTAATTGATGCATTAGGATGAAAGATGCCCAATGATCTCACAAACTCCCCAAATTCAATAACCCCATTCCGCTTCAAGTCAAATAAATCGAAAATCTACAATAAAAAAGACCCGCAACTCTTTAAGCAACTGAAAATAAATGGCAGAGACAGATATGGAGATTTGCACCATATAGAGAGTATTAAAGAAGCCAGCTACATACTCTATCTGCAAACAGATTTCTCATATTTTGATTTCTGAACAATGCAAGCTGGAATTCTTCCTGCACATTACATACATGCATTAAACATACAATTTTAGTAATATAACCACAAATGCAAAAGAGAGAGAATTTGAGGCGTTAAATTGGTACGAGTCACCAATTATAATTCTCTTGTAAAGAAAAGCAATAAAAACAACTTGACAATCAAAGTTGTGAACAATTAAAATAATCATCGCCTTCCGAAAAGAGTGGAGAACACTTGAAACATACCCTATGAATCAGCCCATCATCAATAATTGAACTGCTCAGTTTCTTAAAAAGCTCAAACAATGCCTCCACCTCACTCACCGTAACTGCATCCCAAATACACAAGTGATCAAATTTTGATATTGCCTATCATATCATAGTTTATAAACTAGACTATATTGGCAATCTACAGAACAGAACTCGAGCAAACTGAGTTTTGTAGGAGTCTTATAAAATCATTAGCCGACAAGAAATCAAGTTCAAGTGTGAGGAAGTTTAAACTGATGCATTGAGCTTTCTGGCAGAATCGTTGCAATGCACTTTCTAGTTTCTAATCTACATATGTTTGGGATATTTGAGAATAATCTCTGAGTTCTAGATTCAAGCCCCAGGCAAACTGGAGCTGGCTTTGGATGAAACCTCTCTGAGATTAGTTGAGAATCGAGATGAAGCAGAGGAGTAGGAACCGGTACTTCAGAAAATACTCAAGCACGCCACAAAGGATTCTTTTATGACACAAATACTAAAACTTGTGTCATTTTCCAATAGCAGAGGAAAAGAAGTTAAGAGGCTTCTTATGTTACTTACAGGGTGTTTCCGCAGCAAGGACGGTGGGCTCCTCATAACCTGGAGTCTTTGATTTCTTCGAATGATAGCAGCCCATGACAAACTAGCATAGCATTAACCAGTAAGAAACTTCCAGTCACCAAGCAGAAGCAGAAGAACTCTTCAACCTATTATTCAATGGAAAAGCAGCTCCTTTTCATGCCTATAGTTGTGTAAGGTTCGAGCACATGAATTTGATCTATGTCAGACATCAAAAGTGGGTAAAACATGCCATCACCTTGCCCACCATAGAAACCCAAATTTGAAATTCAAAGCATTACAGACAAAAAAAGAACAGTGCAAGAGAAAAGTTCATCTGCAAAAAGTCCATAAGAGCAGATCTAACTTCCCTTCCCCACATGAATCCACCAATTAAAGCCATGTCCAAGCATGTTGAAAGAGAAAGAAAGGAAGAAAAAAAGACACAACTTCATAGACAAATCTACAAACTTCATTTTACTTTTGCAGAAAGTATTAAAATAATAATGAACCCTTCTGGCTCGCATCCTATTACCAACCCTTCAATTTTAAATGTTCAACTTTTTCCCTTTTCCTTTTGTCACGTTGCTCGATTGAACAAAATCGACTTTTAGACCCCTAAATTAACGAGTAAGGAAAGTGAATATGGATGTTGAAATTTAGAAACGAAGCATGCATTATTGGAATATCACTTTTCTCTTAACAGTGCTGTAAAATTTATACCAAATATAAATATTTCAGAAGACTAATAATCTCACATAAGAATACAAATGTTATTTTTACAGGGAGGAAAACCCAAAAACGATATAATGTATTTTTGTATCCGTGGACCATTGGTGCTGATGTAAGCTATCATTTTCAAGGAAACAAAACAAAACAAAAAAATTATTATAACAGTTTCTTTTTTGTAGATAGACGGAAGTTTGGAGTCATCTCGAAGGAATTCGTCAGAAACATTGAAGCTGAAAAGGTAACCCTTCTGTAATTTGGGAGTTAATTAGAGAAAATGTAGAAAATCGAAGTTAAAAGAAACCCATCACAATTTTCTCCTCGTAGACCGCGAGGAAGGAAATTTTCCACAGCTCAAACTGAGAGAACTTCAATTTCCTCTGAGAATAGCACAAAATCACAACCCATTTGGAGAGTTGAAGAAGATGGAACACGAGCATTACCCTAAATCCATTCCCATTAACCCCAGATTGAAGACGAAGAATCAGGAAACGAAACACTGTTTATTACAAAATGAAACAAACAGCCATGCACGGTTTGAAAAGGCAAAATCGAAGAAAGTAGCGGACCTGTTAAGGAGATTGTGATGCTTAATCTCATTTTTCTTACTCGTCAAAATTGAAGATATGAATTTGGCTTCAAACTTCGGCTCTCCTTTATAGGCTTTTTCCACTGGATCTTAATCTGCTGCTCCTTCTCCTCTGGACCCCACGAACTTCACCAAAGTCAAGGCATTTGATAGAATTTTTATAAAAAAATTACTTAATTAAAGTAGTCTCAAAACTAATTAGGATAGATAAATTGTGTACTTGGTCATGATTTGATTTAAATTGACGAGAAAGATTAAATATTAAATAAATTCCTAATACACGGATTAAAATAAATAAGAATGGCGTAAAAGTTATGTCAGTATTCAGTAAGCTATTTTCTAAACTGTACTGAAAAAAAAAAGAAGAAGCTATTTTCTATATATTACGAATTTTCCGTGAGTTTCTTTCTATAGGAATTAATCTGCAAAAAGTCTTTTAATGATTAAGATGGCTTGAAGAGGTTACTTGTTTGATTTTATAACAAAATTATATTAAAACAGACTTTTAGAAAATAAAATAAACATAAAGAGTAAGTAGAAATTTCATCCAATAATTCAGAAGTACAAGTTGTAATTTAATATAATGGAGCGTCGTTTGTCTACCATTAATTTTTGTCTATATTATATCACTATTTTTCTGTAACAATGTTTTCTTTTTTACAACAAAAAAAATATAAAATTGAGTGTAAAAATTTGAACAAATTGAGTATCCACAGTAATCTTTGCCAATGCCAGGACGTTTCATAAACTTTTTTAAAAAATATTCGTTCGAGTAAATATCGATTAACGTGGAAGTTCATCTGGAACAATTAGGTGTTCTACAATAATTTGACATTTTACCATTAAATAGTCAATTGTGGGTCCGTTATTGTTTCTACCCATGATTTTTTTTACCGTGGTCATATTTGTTGTAACTAATTGTTGGAGACAAGTTTCAACTTTACTTGTCACGTCATTCTTGATTCTACCACGTCGACGAAGGTTTAAATGAAAATGTATGTTTGAAAGGTTTATAAAAAGTCAATGATATTTTTCCACTTTTGAAATGATATGAATATTCTTTTTAATAAAAGATAAAGTTTAGGGGGTATTATTTGTAATTTATCCTAAAGGATCATAATAAGGATCGAATAAACTTGGTATGTTTTAAGAATAATATTTATGTACCTGTGAGTAAATAGTATCTCCTATTCAATTACCATCATTACAAAAATTAATAATTAATAATTAAGAGAGATTAATTCGTAACAAAAAGAAATAAAATAAAATAAATAACTTTCTTTGTTTGACCCATTCTCTGAAAATTGTTCAGGAAAAGATATTTGAAAATAAAAAGAAATGACTGTTTTTAAAACGGCTATAGAAAAAGTGGAAAAAAGGATAGTAAAGATGAAAAGTCTAAGAACAAATCGATGTTTTTTAAAATATAAGAGTAATAGAAAATGTTTAGAAATTATAAAATAAATTGTATTAGTCGATCTTTTGCGGGGCCTACGAATCCATCCTTTCATTTCTACTTACCAAGAAAATAAGATAAGAGAAGAACATTAATTGTACCTCATGTTTTGTTCTGGTCTATCTACCATAACTTTTTAGAAAATTATTCTGAGCACAAATAAAAATAGACAAATTCCCTCCTTCCAAGAATATTGGATATGAGTTATTTCAAAAGGAAATTAGGTTAACAACTTCCAACATGGCCAGCTCCTACACTATAACAAGCGGTGTGACCTCCGTATGTTTATGATTGGAATTTTTTCTTTACTAATCAAAAATTAAATTATATCTTGAAAATATTTGAATAATTCTTTTAGAATCCAACTATTTCCAAATACAAAAAATACTATTAATCTCGGTTTGATATTGTAGAAAGCGGAAATTGAATCTCTTATTTAATTTGTGAAGCAAAATATTAGCTTGGGTCATCATATCTCACCTACCACGTAATAAAACTTTATAACTCTAAAAAGTCTCCTACTCCTAACTCCTAATGCTTCTGTTAAGAACTATTTTGAGAGTATTGTTTCAAAAAGTTCTTCTTTGATAAAAATGTTCATTGGGTAAAGCCTAAAGTATGTCGATATTTTTTTTAGTGCAACGATTGGTAAGGTAGATAATCGATCTATTAATCTTTAGGTTAGTAGTAAATTTCCTAAACAATACATTCCTATTAGCAAATATGTCGGTGCTTAATTTATATATAAAAAATAGTCCTTTTAAATAAGTTGTTACAATTAACAAGAGATATTAATTAGATATTTTAGATCCTATAGACCCAATATGCAAAAAAAAAAAAAAAATATTCAATATCTCCATAAAATACCAGTGATTTCTAAATTAAATACATTATTTTTTTTAGAATATTACTTTAAATAATTCTAAGGTGAAAATTTGTTTTCTTCCTGGTTCAACAACATGTGAGGTGTAGATTTTAACCTCATACTTTTTAGTCGATTAGATATATTTAATAAATTGAATTATACTTAAGTTGATAAATATACTTAAATTACTAAACTATGCTTAGATTAATAAATGAAATATAATTAGATGATTAGAAATGCACTTGTCACATGCATCATGCATGTCTTGTCCCTTTTTTCCCTTTCATTTATCTTTTAAATGCTAAAGCAAAAATCCATTATCAAGAAGAGAAACTTCAATATTAACCATACAAAATCTTCCCCTTATCAAAGAACTTTTTGTTGGGGGAGGCGTGTTTCTTGAAATGTATTAATTCACATTTGAAATAAAAAAAAAAACTCACATTTTTCTTTTCTAAAAAAATATATAAATGTCGATGAATATATATCCATAGTGAATAAAAAATACCGACAACTTAGAAAAGTTTCTTACAACATCAAAACAAATTCTTATATTATATGACCAAATACACAAATTTNAGAATTAATCACTCATATGTATAGCAAATTATGTATTATGATATTCAAGGTCAACCATATATACAATAATGTGTCTTTGTATAATATAACTGATTCTCTTTAATGCACCAATCATATTGCAATTTGATGAATGAAAGTGAAATGAGAATAGCAGATTATATAAAGTATAATGAATGATAAACATGTACGGATCTCAAAATCTCAATTTTACAAATATATTGATAGATATATGTAGATAAAATATTGATATCAAAATTCTTATATATATAATATAATATTATAATAAAGATATTGTTTAAATGAAGTGTTAGATAATATTATTATACAGTGTTATTTGAACTGTAATTAGATTTAAAGTCAAAATTAACGTATAGTTTAGTGATAATTGACACATATCTCGAATTCAATCTCACACCTCACATGTTGTACTAAAAAAACCATAATTAGATTTGAATTAGATATTAATTTAGATTAGATTGTGTTATTCGAATCAGATTTCCTATTATGATTAGAAATTATATAGTAATATACATAGGTTATTAGATTTGTATAAAGTATTTTATTTAGTGAAATCGTATTGGTTATTTTCTATTTTCTCTCCTCTCCTAAGATTATCACGAAGAAACAGAATATCATTACCACTTAGCTATATATGTTTATGTTGGCGTGTGATGATTGAATTTATTAAACAACAATTATATTAAGACTATTTAACCAACAAATTGAGTAATCTAAAATCGTAGATTCATAGTCTTTTCATTAAGAGCTAAGCAAATTAATTAGCCTATTGGTCCTATGAAGTACAATGTTAGTACTCACTAAAAGTTTGGTAAAAAGGCTACAACGTGGATTTTCTCTATAAATTCAATAAACAAATTCATTATAACTGCGTGATAGTCATACTCAATGAATTATTAGTCCTTTTTTCCCCATATAGTATATGGGATTTATTAATCATTACAAATAGTTTGCTTATATTTATTTTCCACTATTAATATTAACCACTTCTAGAATAAGTCCATGTTCTCACGTCTCTTTCTTTCAATTATTTTTTTACAATTAAATAACGGAAAAGCCAACATTTAGAATAAATCATTAAATTAAGAAAAAAAGGGTATAATAAGTCTTTTAAATTTTAAATGTTTTAGGCATTGTAATTCTTATAAGAAACAGTCACATAGCGCGAATTTTTTAAATAAAATATTGTTTACAATCGTCAAAACTCAGACAATATTATAAAGTAAAGTTGTTAATTCAAGAAAAAATTTGATCCATAGTCAATGAGAACAAACTTATATGCACCTTTAATTTGATTACCTTTCTTCTATGTGTATTGTGTGGCTCAAAATTTCTAATTTATCCTTTTAAATAAATAGCTACATGGGCTATCTAGAAAATGACTACATGGGCAACGAAAGTTGGGCTTCAATATCAATTATTTCGGGCTTGAAGAAAAGCATACGATCGACATGTCGACTCGGCGGCAGCGACGATTGGTCGACAAAGCAATCCCCTAATTTTAAATCCTCTTTGTGTAACCCTCATCGTCACCCGAAACCCCTAATTCACCGTCTCTGTGTGTGTATTCCGGCGAAATTTATCGATGGCAGTTTCGAAGCCGACCTTCTTTACCCACCTCAAAGCCCTAACTGGATCCCATCGTTTACTCCGGTACCAAGCTCCGGCACCTCTGTCCGTAACCCTCCGTTTTCTCTCGTTTGCTTCGCCGGAGGAGGCTGCCGCTGAACGACGTCGTCGGAAACGCCGCCTCCGTATCGAACCCCCTCTCTCTTCCTCATCTGCTACTCGCCCACAATCGCAGCCGCCTAAACCTCAATCTCCTCAAAACCCTAATGCCCCCAAACTGCCGGAGCACATCTCTGCCCTCTCTGGTAATCGGCTTACCCTTCACAATCGCATTCTCACTCTCATTCGTCAAAATGATCTTGAAGAAGCCGCGCTTTTCACCCGCCATTCCATTTACTCCAATTGTCGTCCTACCATCTTCACCGTCAATGCGGTTCTCAATGCACAGCTTCGTCAATCGAAATATTCCGATTTGCTGTCACTTCACCGGTTTATTACCCAGGCTGGTGTTGCCCCCAATATAATCACTCACAATTTGATTTTTCAGACTTATTTGGATTGTCGTAAGCCGGATACGGCAATGGAACACTACAAGCAGTTGATAAATGATGCGCCTTTTAACGCGTCGCCGACGACTTACAGGATCTTGATTAAAGGGTTGGTAGACAATAACAAGTTGGAGAGGGCAATGGAGCTGAAAGAGGAAATGACTGTGAAAGGTTTTGTTCCGGACCCTATTATTTATCATTATCTGATGGTGGGCTGTGTGAGAAATTCGGATCATGATGGAGTTTTTAAGCTTTTTGAAGAGCTGAAAGAAAAGTTGGGGGGGACTGTGGAAGATGGAGTTGTTTATGGGAGCTTGATGAAAGGGTACTTTATGAAAGGAATGGAGGAGGAAGCAATGAGGTGTTATGAGGAGAATGTTGGTGTTAATTCAGTGGTGAAGATGAGCGCCATTGCATACAACTCTGTGCTTGATGCATTATGCAAGCATGGAAAGTTTGGTGAGGCCTTGATGTTGTTTGACAGGATGATAAAGGAGCATAGTCCACCCAGGCATTTGGCAGTAAATTTGGGAAGCTTTAATGTGATGGTTGATGGGTACTGCACAGAAGGGAGATTCCAAGATGCCATTGAAATATTCAAGAAGATGGGTGATTATAGGTGTAGCACGGATACATTATCATTCAATAATTTGATTGAACAATTATGTAAGAACGGAATGTTGACTGAAGCAGAGGAGCTTTATGCAACAATGGGTGATAAGGGAGTGAGCCCTGACGAGTTTACTTATGGCTTGTTGATGGATTCTTGTTTTAAAGAAAACAGGTCAGATGATGCAGCTGGATATTTTAGAAAAATGGTAGAATCCGGACTTAGACCCAATATAGCAGTTTATAATAGATTAGTGGATGAATTGGTTAAATTAGGGAAGATTGACGAGGCAAAGTCTTTCTTTGACCTTATGGTGAAGAAGCTCAAGATGGATGCCTCAAGCTATCAGTTTATTATGAAGGCGTTAAGTGAATCTGGGAAACTGGATGAAGTACTTAATGTGGTTGATACTCTTCTGGATGACGATGGGATTGAATTTACTGAAGAGTTGCAGGAGTTCGTTAGAGGTCAGTTGAGGAAGGAAGAAAGGGAAGGGGATTTAGCCAAACTTATGGAAGAGAAAGAAAGACTGAAAGCTGAAGCTAAGGCAAAAGAGGCCGAGGCCGCAGAGGCACAGAAGAGAAGTGCTAAAGCTGCCGTCTCTTCTTTACTGTCATCCAAGTTATTCGGGAATAAGGAAGGTGAGAAAGAATCTGCAGAAGGCTCCGGTGATGCAGCTCAGGCTGCTGCAGTGAACGACACGCAACCTGGTCAAGAAGCTAGTGGAAATACTGAACTTGAAGAATCTAATTCTTTCAAGGGCACATCAGAGGAAGTATCAAGAAGTGAGAATTGAACTGTTACAGATATTAAAGAGAGACGATGCAACTTAACAGGTGAAAGCTTACATCAGCTTTCAATTATTTGTTGCTACTTTACATGGGAATGTGATCCTTTTTCTGTTTCGGTTATCCAATATCCAATTAGGCATGAGAAACGAGTCTCCCACATTTCCTGTCAATTTACTATTGTCCTAGTGGTGATGGCGATGCATGGACTTTATTGATCCCTGTATAAGTGGGAAACTCGAGTAGAGTTGGGTGATTTGTATTCCTTTTACAAACTTGTTGGAATGCACTGTTGCTCTGTGAAGGCAAATTTTTTTTTTTCCTATAAGAGTTGGAACTTTTTACGTGCATCTCTTGATAATGAAGTTCTAAATTCTGTCCTGTATTTGGACCATTTATGCTCCTAATATACTATCTAATCTGTTGGCAGTTGCCTTTCTCAACACGAGCATTCATGTGCTTCTTATCTTTAGCAGTCTCTTTTCTAGGATGGTGAAGGCAAAGATCATACGCAAATCTCTTACAAGTTAGTGAATGTTACAACGTTAGCAAACATCTTTCGTTGGAAGATCAATAATTATCAATATGATTAGTATTTTACAGTTGAAAAACTCATCCGTTACAATATACGAGGAAAGGTAAGAATAGGTACAAAGCAAGGCAGTGTCCACAATACACAAAACGGTAGAGGCCTTTAGTAACACTATTAGGTACAAAGGTTTGGTATGCAGACCCCAGCATCTGGGTTTTGTTCCTTCCATATCCTTCCTGTAACTCTCAGCTTCAGTTCCTTCCTATCCCCACCAGAGAAGAAAAGAGCCATATTTCTTTGAATGATTAATCCATCATGGCTGTCCCTGACTTTTCGATGACTATCTCTAATACTTCGTGGTGTACCCTCCCATATTAGTTTTCGCCCATATCCACCAACCTCGAGACTGTAACTGTATGTTCGTGCCTCATTCTCATCACCCATGAAACGAAGGAAAGCCATGTAGACTGGGGCCACACCAAGCTGAAACGCTTCAAAGTGAAGGCAGAAATATTGACCAAAACAATGAAAAACCTGCAAAATGTGAGAAGAGGAGGCCACAAGAAACATGATTAAATTAAAATTTTGGAGTTAAACCCAAGGAATGCCTAGCAGAGTAAGCCTCCCTCTGGTGCGAAGGCCTCATTTGATCAAACACACAACAAGCCATTTATTGGTGGTTTTGGCATCCGGTGACCACATTAGCTTTTGATTGTACGGATTTGAGAGAAACGCTTGAACCGCAAAAGCATAAATCCATAACTTGGGGTAAAAAGAAACCGGAAAAAATATATACAAGGACATGTACTCTCAATCTCTTGATATTTCATACTGCTATTGTTTTGCATCACATCTAGTTAACACTCAGAACAGGCAAGAAATAGACGCAGTTAAGGTCAAAATTCTACAAAATAAAAACAAATGATCCATGACCAAATTTGTAATCAGCTTGCACCAATACCCTTTACACATCATCAGCAAAACTTATAGACCAACTTTAACGTTTTATAAAACTTGTAGCACACTATATAATTTTGAATTCTCCATCATCTTTCTTTTGTTATCGACTAGTCGATGTCCTTCTAATCTCCCAGTTGCTTGATTGGGCTTGAAACCCTTGTGCTCCCTACCTAATTAAACACCTTATAGAGTAATATAACAGATACATAAACACATACATACATATTTAAACAGAGATACACACACCTGCATATATATATCACATATAAGGAGCAATTCATGTATGGCAAATCAAGTTCTACCAAAGAATAAGAAAAAGAAACTCCACCTAAGAGTTGAGGTCAAGTGCATCGGACTTACAGTAAGCATCCAAGTGGCATTCTCCACTTCCCTTGGATTCGATTTCACATAGCGATGGTTAAATGTACATCCAGTGTGCATATCCACCTTATGATCATCCCTCAGGTGGGCAACGAGAAAAGGAATATCCCCAACAGCAGAGCATTCTGACCCAGCATACGGGCAATTGTAAGGTCTGAAGTTGCACCAAGCCTCATGCTTGAGTTTACTGTAGTATGGAAATATCTCCGGGCACCCCAAGGGATAATACTTGCAAGGTAATTCAAGCGACTCTGCCACCTTCTCCAGTGCTAAGCACCTAATATCTCCTAGCTCTTGTCTACAAGTAGGGCAGCGATTATGAACCCGTGTTTTGCATGTAGAACATAAGGTATGTCCATTGTGGCACTGCAACATTTTAGTTGGTTATACAGTTAACCCACATTAACATACTAACATAGGACATATATTTCCAACAAAATGTAAAACTAATGAAAATCAATATATGTCTAAGAAAATTATTGGCATAAAACAAGCATCTTCTCAACTGCTCTTATCCTGATGGTAAAAGATGCGACCGTCCTATAAAGGTGAGTTCAAATGATATAAAAAGAAAGAGAGATAACTATGATGATGGAAAATCAATGTTTATGACTAAATCAGAAAGAAATCCCTAAGCGTTTTATGCTAGAAGTAAAGGATTTTAACAAACAGGACAGAGTAGTAATCTTGTCCCTGTTTTACAATCTTAGAGCTGGAAAACCTTAAAATGAAAGAGGGTTTGATGGTTTATTGTTTAAATGATACAACAACATATAACAAGCCAAAGACTAAGGTAACTTATTTTCTCGTACAAAAGAAGCACGTAAAATTTTGAAACCAGTATTTCACAATGCCAACTGATTTTCAAAGCCAAAAACCATAAGAAATGAGTGAGCATCGTCACATTTAAAATACATTCTTTAAGAAAACCCACGAAGAAAAAATTATAATGGAAACACTAATATGCACTTCGATCTCGCCCTACTTCTTCAGTTGATACGGTACTCTAGATGTGCAACAATACATATTAACTTGTACAGTCAATTATGTTTACAGAAATAGGCAGTTAAGCCACTCCACAAATGGGAAGACGAGAAGAAAACAAGTCAGCCCATTTCACTTGCTTATCTTAGAGGCTGTCAGTATTCAATTCCCCACAACTTCCAACCTACAATTGATCGATCAACCATAACCCAAAACCCCAGTTGGAAAAAAGTTAAAGAAAAGGAAACTATGAACAATTATTGGGGGGGAGCAAATAATCTCCATTCTGTAAGTAATTAGGGCGACGAAGACAAACCTGATGGATGGGAGGATACATAGAATTAGTGCAGACGGGGCACTCGAGCAATTCATGGACGCTAGTGGCCGGCGCAGTCGCAGTGGGGCCTGTTATAGCGCTATTGTTGTTTCCATTACGAGGCTTCGATGCTGGCAACTCTGAATGATGATGAGAATGGGAATAAGGATGGAGAGTGTTGTGAAGATGGATCTCATCCTCATCGAGACCATCTGACGATGATACACACTCGATACTATCCAAATCCATTTACAAAATTGAAACTGCGGAACTGAAGACAAACCCACTTATCCAAAGCCGGAATCGATCAAGATCTCAGAAAATTTCTGGGTTCCCCCCACTTACTGCAAATTTCTTAAGAAAGTAGGAAAGAAGCAAAGAATGAAAAGAGAAAAAAGGGGTAGATTAATGGATTCCCAGGAGCCAGAGAACCCCTTTTTTACCCGAAAGATGAGGTTCTTTTCTTCGTCTCTCTACCCCCTGTGTTGTTCCTCTCTTCCCAGCTCTCAGAAGTGAGAGAGAGCGAATAATGGCACCGTTGATTTGGTGCTGTGATGAGTAAAACTGACATCCCACGGCCACCACATTGCTTTGAACAACTACAGATCTGTAATAACGACACACAATTTATCAGAGTTTTCTATTTTTAAAAAAATGTCATTTTTTGAAAATTTTAGAAATATATAAATGGAATGCTTTTCTAAATCTGATAAAAATGATTAAGAAAGATGTCTTCTAATATTTTATACCACGGTTCCTTCCAACATCATAGATCTTTTTAGTTTTCTACAACTTTTCATCCAAAACCTTGCAGTTGCAATGGGTTTGTTGAAGATATTTATCCTTCATTTCCAAAAGAGGGAACTTGCCAAAAATTCATCTTTCCAGTTCTAATATTTTCTTGTTGGCACTCACAAGACTCATTTTTATTTTCACTCTCAATCATTTATATCCCAATATACCGCATCAAATCATGGCTTAGATGATATAAGATATGGTATCATAACTTTGGGGTTAAATGGTGAAAACATAGAAAACGGTATCTTATCCATAATAACTGCCATCAAATGACACCATATTAAAATAAAATAAGGCACAGAAGAGGCACAGAAGAGAGAGTGAAAGAGCTGAGAAAGAATGTGCACAAGGCAAAGGTGTTGATATTCCACTTCTCTATAGAGTTGTAAAGCTAGCATCCATCACAACTTCAGAAAACATCCTTCTTTGGAAGAGCAATGATTTCCAATCTCAGTACTTACTATTTAACAAACCATCCGTTACAATATACCAGGAAAGGTAAGAAAGAATAGGTACAAAGCACAGCAGAATCCACAACACACAAAACGCTAGGCCTTGAGATCGAGACTACTTGTCTTAGCTACACAGGTTCGGTATGCAGACCCCGGCGTCTGGGTTTTGTTCCTTCCATATCCTTCCAGTAACTCTCAGCTTTAGTTCCTTCCTATCCCCGCCAGAGAAGAACAGAGCCATATTTCTTTGAATGATTAGTCCGTCGTGGCTGTCCCTCACTTTTCGATGACTATCTCTAATACTTCGCGGGGTACCCTCCCATATAAGTTTTCGCCCATATCCACCCACCTCCAGACTGTAGCTGTAGGTCCGTGCCTCATTCTCATCACCCATGAAACGAAGGAAAGCCATATAGACTGGGGCCATGCCGAGCTGAAAGGCTTCAAAGTGAAGGCAGAAATATTGACCAAAACAATGGAAGACCTGCATAATGTGACAGAGCAAGCCCCAAGAAACAAGATCAAACTAAAATTTGGAGTAAAAACGAAGGAACGTTCAGCAGAAATGAGTCTCACTCTGGTGTGAACGCCTTGTTTGATTAAACAGAAAACAAGCCATTTATTGGTAGTTCAGCGTCCAGTGACCATACCATCTTTCCATTGTATGGATGAGGCAATAAACTTTATAAGAACACTCAAACCGAAAAGCATGAATCCATCACTTGGAACGCAAGGAATGTGAAAAATTAAATAAAAAATGTTCTCCCGACACACCAATATTTCAACCAAACAGCTATTTAATTGCATCCCATCTATTTGCCTCTGGTAAAGGGCAAAACGTGAATGCAGTTAAGATTGATAGTTTTATATATTTAAAAAATGAAAAAGATTGATTGCCAAACTTGTAACCAGTTTGCAAATACCTTTTTCACATCATCATCAGCAAAACTTATGAACCATCTTTACTGGTTTATTACATACAACTTGTAGCAGGCCATATAATACCAATTCTTTTTTTTTTCTCATCATGTTTCTTTTGTTATTGTCTAGTTGGAGTCTTTTTTCTAATCTCCCCAGTGGTTTAATTGGGTTGGTGATCCTTGTCCTCATATATACAAAGACACATCTGTCACACGTATGTATATATATCACATTTAAGGAGTTCAGTTCATATATGGTAAATCACCTTCTACCAAAGAATAAGAAAAAGAAAACCACTAAGAATTAATGTCAAATACATCAGACTTACAGTGAGCATCCAAGTGGCATTCTCCACTTCCCTCGGATTGGATTTCACATAGCGATGGTTAAATGTGCATCCAGTGTGCATATCCACCTTATGATCATCCCTCAGGTGGGCAACAAGAAAAGGAATATCCCCAACAGCAGAGCATTCCGACCCAGCGTACGGGCAATTGTAGGGTCTGAAGTTGCACAAAGCCTCATGCTTGAGTTTACTGTAGTATGGAAATATCTCCGGGCACCCCAAGGAATAATACTTGCAAGGCAATTCAAGCGACTCTGCCACCTTCTCCAGTGCTAAGCACCTAATATCTCCAAGCTCTTGTCTACAAGTAGGGCAGCGATTGTGAACGCGTGTTTTACATGTAGAACATAAGGTATGTCCGTTGTGGCACTGCAACATTTTAGTTGGTTATACAGTTAACCCGCAGTGACATAAACAATGGAGATATGTCCACGATAAAATAACATCTTATGAAAATTAATACATGCTTTAAGACAATATTGGCATACAACAAGCATCTTCTAACACCTCTCATCCTGATGGTACAGACACGAACATTCTAAAAAGGTGTGTCCAAATGATTACTAGAAAAAAAAAACAAAGATATCCGCGATAATGGGAAATGATATCCTAAGGAAGCAATGGAAAACTAAAATTTCATCACCCTGTCAAAATATTGTTCATAACTAAACCAAAAGGATCTCTTTAGAAAGTCGGTTGAAATAACCAGCGACTAATGCTAGAAACAAAGGCTTTCAAGCACAAATAGGACAAGTAGTAATCTCGTCTCTGTTACATAAACTAGAGTTAGAAAACCTTAAGATACACTTGATAAATGTCAATACAATCAAGTCTTTGTCTCAGACTTCATCAACTTAATAACAAGTTTCCATTTAACATATCCATCCAGAACACTTCATGTCCCCAAAATCCAACCGAAATTGATTGATCAACCTTAATCCAAAAACCCATAAGGGAAGAGATAAATAAAAGGACATTATTTCTTAAAAAATCTTCCTTGCACATTCATCAGAAAAAGACGCCTCTCCCAACCCACAAATAATCTACATTCTGTAAGTTATTAGGGCAACAATGACAAACCTGATGGATGGGAGGATACATAGAATTGGTGCAGACAGGGCACTCCAGCAATTCATGGACGCTGGTGGCCGGAGCAGTCGCAGTGGGGCCCGTTATAGCGCTATTGTTGCTTCCATTACGAGGCTTCGATGCTGACAATTCTGGATGATGATGAGAATGGGAATAAGGATGAAGAGTGTGATGCAGATGGATCTCATCCTCGTCGAGACCATCTGAAGAAGAGACACACTCGATACTATCCAAATCCATTCACAGAATAGAAAAACCGCAGAAGTGAAGACAAACCCAGTAATCCAAACCAGAATGGATCAAGATCTCAGAAAGTTTATGGGTTGCCCTCTGGAAAATTTCACCGCTTGGTGAAAAATTTCTCCCGAAATTAGAAAAGAAGCAAAGAATGAGAAGAGGAAGAGGAAGAGGGGTAGATGAATGGATTTCAAAGAACCCTTTTACACCAGAAAGACGAGGTTCTTTTCTTTGTGTCTCCTCTCCACCCCGTTGTGTTCCTCTCTTCCCAGGTCTCTGAAGTGAGAGAGAGAGAGAGACAGAGGAACCGGAAGAGAGAGAGAGAGATTAATGGCACCGTTGATTTTGTGGTGGGAAGAGTAAAACTGGCAATCCCACGGCCAGGAGTATTGGTGGGACAACTTGAGATATGTGATGATCACAGTTCATCAATATGAAATCCTGCCACGTGTTTTTATCTCCTTTCTTTTTGTTCATTCAATGCTTAGTAGGATTAGTTTATATAATCAAACTTCAACTTCAATTTACATTTAATGTGTTTTACTTTTTGTCTTTTTTGTATTCTTGAGTATTTTGTTTTTCTTTTATTGTAATTCCCATCCTAATTTTCATCTAAAACCCTTGATAATTAGGATATATAATTATTACTCAACTAAGTACTTCTAAAAGTGTTTTAACCCACAAATTAAGTCTTCGTTTGTATGACTAATATTTATTACAAAAATACTTATTATCTTATTTGTTTTAGAGACTTATTTCAATTCTTTTACATTATATCAAGGAATAATTAATGAGTGTGAGATCAAATAGAAGACAAGAGAAAATTCATCCAATGATGATTGTATAAATCCCAAAGAAGTCGTTATGATGTGAATGTGAAGCTATAAGATGGTATTATTCCCAATGTTAACTGCATCATTGAACATTCATGACCAAGTAAAATTTATGTCTCCCAAACTTTTCTTCCATTTTGAATGGTATAAAAATGTTATGCCTTCCCCACCTAGCATTATTGAGAACATTCAGGCCTTTTCCTTGCTTATTTTTTGAGGGTGTAAAAATTCACAAGACAAAACATTTGTACTTGAGAGCTTTCAGAAGATTCAGAACTAAAACAACCCTTAAGAAATAATTTAGAAATTAAAATAGAATGTTGTTCTTGAAACCACTGTCAAACAACCCCTAAATGTTAAAGAGAGAACTTCTATACCATCAGCCACATCCTTGGAGATAAATGCTTGAAAATGTGGATTTTTATGGGACCGGGACTACAAAATAAATCATAGAACACATTTTTTTGACAATCAGTTAATCCGTGTGACAATAATTTTTCCCATTTGAATTATTAATAAATGTAGACTTTTTATATGTACACATTACAGATATAATACATAGACTTCCACAAGTAGTTGGTTACATGCTGCTGGCAACAACAGAAGGAAGATCTGTTTCACCTTCAGGTTCTGGCTCTCTTTCAGAACCCTCGCTTGTTGCCTGCAAAGCAAAGTTGGCAGCATTGTTAGATTACCTAGGGGAATATGTGACCATAATGTGGTAGATAAGAACTACATAGCTGGACTAGACCTTTCTTTCTTCTACCTTTTGTCCTGAAAGATAGCGATCCAATGCACCCTTTCCATGAAGAATTTTAGCTCCACAACTGGAGCCGTCAGACCCGATGGATTCTTCGTCAACGATAACGGCATCAATTATATCCTCGCCTGTTTTGGCATCAGGAATCTGCAAGACTCCAGGGTGGTATGGTTGGTTAACTAACGCATCAGGCATTGTTTGTCAAATGGCTAATGCAGTGAAGAAACGGAACTATGTTGACTCAGAGTAGATGCAGGGCAGCTTATTTTAGGTGACAAATGGCTTCCAAATAAAGAAAAAGAAAGTGATGTTTCATTCCTGATATTAATGCACACCTGTTACTTCTCCGGTCACCATCCTCTCAAAACTGTCTCATGATTATCTCTACCGATTTCCTTCTACTCTAAAAGGAAGGACTCTATTGTTAATCTTTATCTTATTTGTTGATTTTCAAGTCATTTCTGATCTTAATTTAACAGAGGCAGGAATTCTATTTATTAGTATTAATTGCAATCCCTCAAAGTTGATTCGACAGGCGTTTGTGATGGATTGTGAAGTTGATTACTTTCCTACCACTTATTTAAGGCTTCTCCTTGGTTGTTATTCCAAAAGCATCTTTCTTCCTAAGAAAGGGCATTTTCCCCTAGGGTGGAAGGTTGACCCATATCCTGGCAGTTTTGAGTGGATCCTGACATACTTCAAGTGGAATTCCGGAGATCCTGACTTGCTTACTTTCTATTTTTAGAAATCCTTCTTTTGTCAGTAATGGTTTGCAGAAGATCATGAGATTTCTTTGAAGTGTTGACAAGGGTGGGTTCCCATTTGATTGGTGGGATTTGTGTCTAGACCAATTGAATTGCCATTAGGGGGGTTGGGCATGAGAAACTTGAGGCTTTGTAATAAAGTCGTGTTGCCAAAATGGTTGTAGTAATTTCTCCTTGGAGCCAAATGCTTTGGTGGCGTAGGTTTATGGAGAGAAAGTTGGCTCTCACTGTTTTGAGTGGGTCTCATATTTGTGGGGCTTAAGGTACGTACAGAACCCTATAGAGGCAATCTCATCTTCTTTCCCTTCTTTTCAAATTTTGGTGGAATTCTCAATTGGGGATGGCGCAGATAGAGGACTATTGGTTGCGTTGGGTGATAGTCCCCTCTGTTATTTGCTTCCTCATCTTTACCACCCTGTCTTAACCACCGTTCCTCTTTTAGGGTTACTTTATGTAACTATCGTCCTACTTTAGGTAATTCCACATCATATAATTATGGGTTTCGCATCTTTCAGATGGGAACTTTTGATGTTTTACCCTATTTTTTTTGGTTGGTCAGTTCATTATCATCCTAGGACCGTAGTATCCACTTGCAAACCCAATCCTTCGAAAGGGGTTTTCTAGTAGGTTTTTCTTCCATCTATTGGGTGACCCTCAACCTTGCAGGTCCTTTTATTCTCCTTGCTATGGAAGATTATAATTCACAAGAATGTAAAACTTTGGGAGAATCAACATTAATGATCCAATCCATCGGCATTCTTCCACATGTTGGGGTTGCAATGGTGTCTTTTTTGTAAGAATGCTTGCAAGGATTTGAGTCAAATCTTTTGGAGAATCCAGTTGACATTTCGATCTTAGATTGCTTTTTGGAGTCATTGAAATATGTTTGGCTCGTAATGGAGAGCGCTGATAATGGAAGAGCTATGATTTCACCACTCTTTGGAGCACAAGTTTTTTGGTTGTAATGGAGCATTTAGTTTGAGTAATAGGATAATTTTTAGAGCTGCCAAAATTTTCTAGGGGATGCCTGGTCTTTTAGCTAAGTTCAACATCTCTCGATGGGTGCATTTCTAAGAATTTTTGTAATTTTCCTTTAGATCAAAGATCTAAATTCTTATTTACTGGAGCCCTTTTTCATATCTATAGAATACATTTTTGTATTGACACCTTTCGTATCAGGCTATCCTTTTTTAGGCCCACTTGTATTATTTTAAGTTCATATAGAGATAAGAAATAGCATACCTCATACATAGCATCCATCAATAGATTCTCTAATATTGATCGCAACCCCCGGGCTCCAGTGTTCTTAGACATAGCCTTTCTTGCAATTAATCTCAAGGCATTTTCTGTAAAATGGAGCTTGACCTGGTGACAATGAGTTATCCCAAGATATTAGTATTCGTAAGAGGTGGAAGCAAGGTAAACATACTTTAAGTTTACAAGCAACGAACACAAGTTCTCCACTGTCAATCTGGAAAGAATTAAAAAATAATAATAATAAAATTTAAAAATAATAAATAAAATGAAAAAAAAAAACCAACTTACGCCATTCATTAGGAACATCTTTCTATACTGCTTCCCTAATGCATTTTTTGGTTCTGTCAAGACCTACAAATGCCAGTATTCGAGTCACCTTGAGTCAGACAGAGGAAATCCATAGCAATTGAGATCGATAAAGACTTCAGAGCTTAGAGAGATGATCATCTTATGTATCATCGTAATGTTTAATTTACAAAACAATTGTTAGAGTACAGATATTTTCCAAAACTAGAGGCATATTATTCCATATATCTTGCCAGTATGACAGAAAAATAATATGATGGATGCTACAATAAACTTGTGCAGCTAGCTTCCCCAAGCAATTAGTAAAGTTGCATTTGGTTTAGTTGGTCATATGAAAACAGAAATCTGAAAACAATAGATTCGAGAGTTGTATTTCACGTTTTCAATATTTTCGGAAATGTGTTTAATAGCAGATTTGGAAATTGAATCTCAATTTAAAAAATTGTTCAATGTGTTTAGCTATATATTTGTAAACTGGTAGTAGTAGTTACCAATTAATATTTAGTTCAATTTAAAATATTATTAAATAATTTATTGATTAAAACATGTTCTAATTTTAACGAGAATGAAATGAGTTTACAACATGAAATAGTATATTTATTAAAAATTTTACCTTTTTTTTTATGTAATTCTACATTTTAAAGTTTCAAATTCAAAATCTAAAAACACTAACAACGTAAGAATGTCATTTTTTGAATTTTCACTATTTGTATCTCTGAATCCAAAAACAATTTTAAAAAACAAATTTGTCAAGCACATATTTACTAAATCCACTAAAACAAGAAATAGAATCCATATTGCATACCAAACATGTCCTAAATTTTGAGTCCTATCTTCGAAAAAAATGTCACGATATGACTTAAAACTAAAGGTAGATGTTTAAGGGCCACTTTTATGAACAAATGACTACAGGAAGAATAAGAATTCAGAATATACCTGAACAAGTTGATTCTCTGTTAGGGCTGACAAGCTGACAAGGATGGGGAATCGACCAACAAATTCAGGAATTAACCCGTATGCAATAAGATCACTACTTTCAACCTGACAAAATATAAAATCCTCTATAAAAACCAGTAAGAGAGTAAAAAAAAGTCATAAACTGATAAGTTTACATGAGTTGTTACTGTTACTCTAAAATTGAGGAGTGGTCTGCACTTACAGTCTCCAATAGAGAAGAAGTAACAATGGCATCTGTAACACCACCTGTCCTCATGTTTGCACGAACTGGGGCCCCGAAACCTAAAGAAGAATCTTGGCGCCTGAAATTGAATAAAAACTCCTCCGAAGTTAAAATGTTACAGATATAATTATCACCACAAGGAGTAAACTAGAGTAGCTATTACATGCAGATAACCTTTCTGAGATTGTTTTTTCCAAGTCAATGAAGGCACCCCCACATACGAAAAGAATATCCTTTGTGTCAATCTGCAAAGAATTTCATAATGATTACATATTCATGACACCGGGACCTATATCATTTCCTTAGTCAAGAACTACTTCATAGAGAACACTCAAGCCACTTATTTGTTTAGGACATTAGAATAAAGTAAGAATAATGATTATTTCATAAGCAGAGATACGCATCTTAAAGTCCACTGTTTTTTTCCTTGCAAGGAAAGCAAATTTCTTAAAGGTAAGAACCTACCTGGATATTTTCACCTCTAGGATGCTTTCGTGCACCCTTCTCAGGCACATTGACAACCTAGATCAGAAAAAATATCACATATCAGCTCACCACAAACATAATTCATATATGGCTGCTGCACACTATGTCACTACATCATAAAACTTCAGCTACCATGAAATGCAAAACCTACCGTTCCTTCTAGCATTTTTAACAATGCTTGCTGAACCCCTTCTCCTGACACATCCCTGCTAATGTTAAGGCTCTCTGCCTGCCTCATAAAAATGCAATGCAAATATCAACGAAGGAAAATTCACACCAGTCCTTCCAAAGAAGCTGGAGGGAGAGATGAATATAAGAGCTGAGGAGAACCTTCTTAGTAATTTTATCAACTTCATCTATGTAAACAATTCCCTGCTGTGCAGCTGCCACATTATAATCAGCAACCTGACATTTAAACACATATGAGAACAACATCACGACAGGAGAATGTTACGGACAAAAGCAAAAATGAAACAATTTACAGGTTCTGAAGTCTGAACTAAGTATTAAAAAACAACAATTTTGTCATTTATGGATTAAACCAAACGGAAATGAAGATGCTGCAAACAAAAAAGAGTGTATGTTGCATGGCCTTAATTTTGATTGATATATTGGATGTGAAGCGAAAAGTCCTGAGGTACAGGTACTCAGCTACATACCATCAGAAGTTTGTATAATATAGACTCCACATCTTCTCCTACATATCCTGCCTACACATGGCAACAAAAGTCATCCAACTAAAACATTATAATTTCAACCACAAAACGTCAATGAATGGAAGCAACTAATACTATATCCTAATAATTATTAGATAAACTAACCCCAGGGTTATAAACTGAACCAGTTTTTGGATCATTCACAATTTATAATTCTAAATTACTGTTAGCAAAACATTACATTTGAATGAAATTTAATGGACCTATTTAAGTAGTAGATATGAAATACTGGTGAAACAGAAACATAAGTCTTTGTACCATCAACATCCAAGAGAGTTAAAAGAAATATCCATGAGACAGGAAAGGTTACTTATCCCAGAAAAACACAACTAACCAACTAATTAAGAACTAAACTTTTTATGTTTTCTAATAATAAATTATGCAAGAAAATATGCCTAAATACCCCTAAAAGCCAATAAGTGTTCATCAATTTACCTGTGTTAGGGTAGTCGCATCAGCAATAACAAATGGAACATTAACAAAGCGTGCCAAGGTTTTGGCGAGTAGTGTTTTCCCTGTCCTTGAAACAATATTAAGGGAGAATAAGAAAGAATCATACAAGAGTTCACAATAATTAATTTACAATATTAGTTGGAAAAAAATTCTATTTGACCTGTATTTTAATCAAGCAGAAATTATTTAGGCTTCAAATTGAGGGAAAATTTCATATTTTTGGGGGCCTATTGCGATGATAATGACTTGGACAATATTTGCAGTATTCTAAAAGTTTTTGAGTTGGTGGCTGGCTTGAATATCAATCTATATAAAAATTAAATAAAACAAAATCCATGAAGGTATCAACATTGACCAGCATGAAGTCTTTTCCCAAGCTAACAAATAGGTAGAGATTGTTTTTTGTCAAATGGAAAAACCAAGCTTTGCCTACAAAAACAACAGCCCAACACTTTGTAGTGGTGTTGCCATTTCATTACCTTGGCTTCCTTTGGGAGGAAATCCAAAAAGAAAACTTGGACTTTTAGAATCCGATTATAAATAGGGTTTCTAAGATGCTCAGTAAATGGAAGAATGTTATTGCACAAAGGAAGACTTACTCCTGATGAATCAGATCTCTCAGCATTCCCACCTAATACATTTCTTTTTCCAAATCCCTACTAAAGCATCCAGACTCTTGGAAAAAAGGATAGCACTACTTTACGGCAGGAGTAGGTGTAGGACCCACCCCAAGAGCCATTTTTGGTTGGTTGGAAGAAAGACACTCCTCATAAGGATAGGAACCTTGGCACTAGAAATCTTTAAGAAAAATATATTGCGCTATTCTCTAAATGGCTTTGGGTAGATGTTTATTCTAGATTATCAGTTATGACAACTAAAATTCCAAATATGTGGTGTTCGTTGAACTGCATTATAATCACACATTCTACAAAAGTAAACTGCAATACACAACAATCATATAAAATAAATTACCTGAGCCTGTTGGCCCCATCAGAAGGATGTTACTTTTCTCGAGTTCCACTTTATCATCATCAACAGCATCAGCTTTGCTATTAACTGTATCTCCTGTAGGCCTAGCTTGCACAAGCAAAACAAAACATTTGAAGGTCATTGATATCTTTATAGAATGATCATATCATTATTGTCCTTTCTTTTAATATTATCAACTAATCAGACTGGTAAACTAGGCTCTGAAAGAAGTTTTAAAAAAAAAAAATGCCATGCCCCAAGTACAAGCACTATGATATACATGTGTGGGTGTGTTTTGGGAGTTACCTTAAAAGTTTAACAACATGTTAGCCACCTAATTAGCTCAATCAAACTTCGTTCACACTCCACAGAACAAGTAATGGAGAAAACTAAGACAATAGAGACATCGGTTGGGAGTTTTAATTCCTAACCAAAACCATTGACCTCATTTAAAGCGAGGCATTATTAACTCGCCTATACTTAAGGCAAAAGAAAAAGATACATAATAGACAGGAAGTATCTAACATTCAAATTCAACAACCTTTGTAGTGACTCGTGATAGATGCGCTTGTAGTGATTGTATACACCCACGGAGAGCACCTGCACGAGACACTTTCTTCAGACGATAAAATAAAATGAATGTAGCTAAATGAATCAACAATGTTCAGCCACGAACGGGTTTTACCTTTTTAGATCTCTCCTGACCAATCACAAACTTATCAAGCCCCTTGCAGATTTCCTTCGGGGTCGGGAAATTAGGTCCCAAACTGGAACCACCCCAGCACCCATCATTCGAGTTGGAGCCAAACTCACCACCAGAACCAGAGTTGGCGCTGCCGCCGCCTCCTCCACGACCATTCAAGCTTGAATTGCTCCCACGAATCATAATCCCGTCTCCAGACCACACCTCGGGCGGGTCCCCATAAGTACTCATAAAACTATCGCCCCTGCCCCTACTCAACTTCCCATTCAAGTTCTTATTGGAATTCGGGTAAATCCTCCGATGATCGAAAATTTGACTCCCGTTCTTGACGAAGTCTCCCCTAAGTGAAACCGGCTTGAAAGAGACTAAGTGGTAAGGTGAGTTCAGATAGAGGTCGTTCGATTTGTTACGGGCGGTGCAGTGAGAATTGGGCTTGCTACCAGCGTGAATATAATTGGATATAGATTGTCTATAGCGAGCGAGGGTTAAAGTGGCAACTTCCTTGGAAGACCTGGACCTGAGAGCAACGGCGGCCATGACTGAAAATAACTTCTCGGAAAATGAAAGGTAAGGTAGGAGAAGATAGCTAAATGTATTGGGTCATGGAGAACTCAAAGATGCAGAGTAACAGAGATGGGGAGTATTGGCATCAACGAAGCAGCGAAATCGGGAAGGGACTGAAGAGAAGAGGGTGAAGAAGATGAAGAAACAGAGATACTGAAGCAGACGGCAGAACCTCACAGAAAATTACGTAACAAGTCCAAGGGGAAAGCTGTGGCTTGTGGAGCCTTCAAGAATATCTAATTTGGAGGAGTGTACGAAAACGACGTCATTTTACTTGGAAAGCAATAAATAAATGTCTTATTTAATTATCAATATCTTTTTATATCTCGCATCGTATTTAATTGGATTTCTACATCAAGGTATTAGAAATAGAGTTTTAAGAACCACCATATTAGAAATAATGTCCTATTCTGTTTGTTGTTTCTAATCTTTTAAACAATAAATAAACGTAAATAATAATATTTTTACATTTTTCAGCCTTTTTTTTTGTTAAAAAAATCCTCAAATTATGCATACAAACTTTTGGGGCAAAAAAGTTTTCTATTACCATATCCATTTATCTCTAATTTCTAAAACATTAATGAAATTTCTACGTTTGATTTCTTTTTTCTCTAAAACATAATGAACTTCTTTTTTTCCATTTTACCTGATGAGCATACAAAATTCATAACCAAGCGTCAAATCTCCAAACTCTGTGATAAGAATGATACCGTTTTAAGGTGAGTTGGTAGAATCGGGATTAGACAAATGCTAAATATTGGGGTAAATGTTCCAAGCTACGAATTGGGGAACTAGGAGATTGCTCTATAATTCTTCCTCATTTTGCAATCTTTTACTTATCTCAATACAAACATCAATTCTCTTCCTATCACTTTGATGTAAAAGATAACAAAAAAATATAAAATCATAGATTAGTAATGACTACAAGTCTACAACAAAGTGATATCTAATCCAACTTTAGATAACAAAGCAATATCTCCATGGATGAGAAAGTGAGTAACAAAAAACCAACCATATCCGTTTATTGCTTATTATTCTTCTCTTCTTCCTTCATCTTCTTCTCCCACCTGCGCTTCTTGTATTCAAGCAACATGTCTGGCATTTTCTCCATCAATCTGGCAGTGTTTTCTCGTTTTTCTGCAGCTATCCTATCACACTTGTGCCCTTTCCTCTTGGTTCTCATCTCTTTCTTCTCTGGATCGTATGCCCAATCCTGCCCAGCAAGAAGTACTTCCTTGCGAAGTCTCGCACGGTGACGTGCACTTATGCCCAGTGGCTTCCATGCTCCTAGTTCCCAGTAACCCCATACACCTTTGGACAGCTCATTCTTGTATTTGGCCATCTTCTCCTGCCATGGATACTGATACTCGCTGATGGCTTTCGCCACAGATTTGGCAGCCTTGCTTGCCATTCTCTCTTGAAATGTTCTTGTCAGAGACCAGAGCAGGAATATAATAACCAATTTATCCCATGGAAGAGAAAAGGAATAGAGAAGAAAAGTAATTAAAACGAATCAAATTTTATCTACTGTTGTGCAAATAGTAGAGGCATCAAGTTTCCTAATAATTATTTCAGACAAATAGATTTATCATGCCCACAGTTGTTATGTACACAACATTCAACTTTCCATACGCAATAAAATTTACCCAACAAAGACATAATAAGTATCTTTTAAGTAAAAAAGAATAAAGTGTTCCTAAACCACATGAATACATCTATAAGTAACTTAGTGTAACATGACAAATTTCATTGAGAGGAATAAGTAAAGAAAAGAAAAACGAACATCTTGCAACACATCATTAGTATTTCAGAGATTGTCCTTGAGCTAAAGCTAAGGAGGGTCCACATGAGTTCGTTGAGGTGTCTACACAAGAACAAAAACCTCTTTTATATTCTGTCTAGAGTTCGAATGGGTCCATCTAAGTTGAATGAAAATGAGAAATTCAAAATTCTGAGAAATTCAAAATTCTAACTGGCTAGAAGAAGGCTCTTCATCTAGATCTATATGCAGAAGATGAAGCTATAAGAGAATTTAGTTGATTGGTTCAGTTTTGAGGGGGATTACTCAAACAATCAATGGACTGAACTTCCATTGGGGCATTTAACTGGTTAGTGTATAATCTGTGTTGGCATGATTGGTAAATTGCTAAAGAAATATTCGAAGTTACTAGCTCTCAACACCCACTTCAAACCAGCGAACAAAGTCGATCTTAAAACCTAGAAGTATGAATTATTCCGGAATACTTTTCTCTTAATAAGTAACAAACATAAATATACTCTACCTACATTACATACGTGTCCTTCAATGACATTCCATATTTCACATCCAACAAATGACAACTGCAGAAAAGTTAACATCGCAGGTCCATATTCCAGCAACATCAAATTACAAGTCTTATCCATACAAAATCATTTCATGTATAAGGAGCAACATTACTCAGAACTAGAGAAATAAGCCTTACATAAAATTGTTAGTTTAAAATTCTTTGATAAAGTTTCAGATCACAAATATCTAAGAAATTCACTCAATATTAAACCGCTAACAACACGTCAAACCTAAAATAGAGGATAAAAGCTATAAAATCCTCATTGATTAAGAAGAACGGGAAACAACTTTGAAATGAAAAATAGGTGCTCTATGGAGTTTCATCGCACGGAAAACTCAGAACAAGAGAGCAACTCAGGATCACAGTGCAACATCCATACGAACGACGCGCAATAGAAGAAGAGGGCGCATCAAAGGGGGAGGAGAAGTGAAGCCTCACCAGAGATGGAGATGGCTGCGCGTGAAGGGAGACGGGCAGATTGCTGACGTTGAGAAGTGCTGAAGCTTGAATTGGGACTGGAAGTGGAGGGATGTTGGGGAATGGGAATAAATCAATAAGAGGAAAATATGTAATTGGCTGAATAGCCTTTTTCAAATATCGGATTTGCCAAAATAACCTTAGGTTAAAATGCCCTCACTTTGACAAATATACCCTTTCTTCCTTCTTATACTTTTTGACAAATATACCCTTGTTTATTTTTCTTTTTTTAAATAATATACCCTTGTTATTAATATAGTTGGACCTGGACGGAATATAAATATGATGGTCCAAAATGACTTTATAAGATAAGAGTAACCAATTCATTCCATTTAAGGAAAATTTAAATAATTTATTCAATTTCGGGAAAATTTAAATACTTCAGCAACAATTGACATATATCTTCAATGTGAGTTCGATCTCCTACCATATTCCTTGTTTTTGTTTTCATATATGTGTCTAATAGCAGGATTCAAGATATTTTGTAATATACTAGTTAGATTCACGTGCATTGCACGTGGGTTAACATTTTTAGAATATAACTTTCTACGATAATTTCATATTTAAATGAATATACCTTTCTTTAATGCTTATTTGACATTAACTTTTAAAATAGTGAAAGTGAGAAAATAAAAAAAAAAATTATAGATAATTAAAGTTTAAGTATATATAAATGTATAGTTTCATACCTTTTTTTCGAAGAACTTTTTCTATGTTGATAGTTGATACTAACATCTGAATTAAATATTCATTTTAAAATAGTAATATACTGTATAATTGACATAAAAAAAAAAGTAAAAAGAAAATGTGAATGTGAATTATTCGTGGAATAGTCATTAAATGTAAGTATAAATAGGTCATTATTGTACTAAAAAAGTGAAGTATATAATTTCTTTTATTTATTCAAGATATTCTGTGGAAGATTTTTATTAAAAATTTATATAAATTCTTTAGTTTTTTTTAATTCTTATTATTATTATTTTTACAAAAAAAAATTTATTTTTCATAAAAGAGATAGGATTACATTTTAAAATTATAAAACATATTTTATTTTTAGAAAAGAAAGTAATTACTTTGAACCTAATTTTTAAATTTTTGTTGAATTTTTAATTTTTGAAAAAAAAAATTCTACCTCTTATTTTTTTAAATCATTGATTACTTGTTTTCAAAAATTATTGTCTATTATAAAATTTTTAGTAATATTTTATCTGGTCAAAGAAAATAAGATATTAATCAAATTTAGAAAAAGATGATGATACTATAAAATTTTATCATTACAAATTTTAGGAAAAATAAATCTCATGCACTAAAATTTTCTAACAAATGTTTGACACCATGACATTGTTTTATAATTAATATCTATTAAAATTTAGAAATATACATATGATTTAAAACGAAAAAAATAATGTTCAATATAGATCAAATAATAAGCTAGTTTGAAATAAATAAATAAAAAGTTTGAAACTTATTGGTATGAAAAAATTAATCAAAAAGATAAATTATAAAATTTCAGAAAAATAAATTATAGATACACATGATTGAAGACTTACTTTTCATATAATCTAGTGTTATTCTTGATTTTTTTTTTCACGAAATTGGTAGGATCTCCAAGAATATGATAAGATCTTTGATTTAAAGTGATTTTGATGATTGAATCTTCTATTGTTTTGTTGGTTTTAGGACCAATTACACCTAAATGTGATCACAGTACACAAATTATTAATCAAAACTACCGCATCAGTTTAGAAACTCAAATTAATTACTAAAAATAAATTCTTCTAAAAAAAATAATGAAAGCATAGATAAACAAATTACAATAGTAGTTAAAACCAACATCAGTTAAGAAAGCTACATTATAATAGATACAAATATTCAAACTAAATATCAATAAATTATTTGATCAAAGAAAAATAGAACTTTCATAGACATTTTGGAGGGAAAAAAAGACATAATTTTTAAGTATGATCACTTTAGTTTTCTTTCATTTTATAGATGGTTTGCAACTGCACTTATATGTGAATAGATGCATCACTTTGTCGAAGAGTTGCACTTCTATTATATTTAACTTCTCATTTGAATGTGTGAAAGAATGTGTGACACAATTTTCTAATCTTGATCGTACCGATATGCGAATAGACATAACTCTACGGTCTTGATTGTACCGATTCTCTCGATAGACACCTTGATCCAAATAGTCGCATCTCATAAAAATCTAAAAGGCAAAATAGACATGTATATTGAATCAATAGACACCTCGACAAATGGCATCCGTTCGAAGTTTAAAGGGCAAAATTGGTATATACTAAAAAAATTGATGGCAAAAATGATAGAGAAAAATTCTCCTTTATAACCTCGTTTATATATAGTATAAATTAATAAGTTAATATTACCAAATGTATATTCATTCCAATTCTCTACCAAACGAACCTTAAATTTATCTTAAAAAAGATAATTAATTAATTACAACAATTTCCATAAGTTTGAAGGTATAATTAGAAAAGATAGATTTACAACTTAATTGTATTGTAACAATATTTACTAGAACACCTTGTCGACGATCCTCTAGTGAAGTGATGTTAGAGATGAGAATGCATCCCCTTACTCCTACCTCCAAAATTAATTTGGGGATTTTGGTTTATCTGTTAATAAGCTCCAATATCTTAATAACATTTTTATCAGATATCAAGCTCATCCAGAAAGCACATAAAACAGAGAGAGGAGAAAGAAAACAAGAGAGATGATGATGAAACATGAAAGAAGTGCACCACCAAATAACTGTCAAAGGAAAGCTTGGTATAGACATGGTCTTGCAGAAGCAGAATCTATTTCACAAGGCAAAATTGGCACTGCAAATTTCTTCCAGTTCATCCCTTCCTTACCCCTTAAAAATCATCAACTTCCCAACACTAATACATATCATGCAAAAACCCAACACATCGACGAAAATGAGCATCCCAAAACTTCCAAAACATATAGTCATCCCTCAATGGTTGGCTGATCCTTCTCTGCACTGCATCACGCCATCACCTACCGGTCGATCTCCCCATTGCAACAGGAGTTTGTTGCTGCCATTATACGAGAAATGACTTGAATTAATGATCAATATATAAGTGAGAAGAATGAAGAAATTATGACAGCATGTTTGTAAAATAGCCACATTATTGGACTTATAAAAGCATTGGCAGTAAGAAACTGACATTGTAAAATATTCATAGAAGTTCATTTGATGAACTTCCAATTTTAGAAGAGCCAATAGCACATCATATGTTTTATATCAAACTTATTAGAGGAGATCAGATTATGTACTAGGCAAAGACAGTTTTTAACAATTTGAGACAGATTATCAGGTAACTCATTTAACGATTTAAGTACTGCATGTTTGTGAGGTTGGTTTAGAGCTTACCCGAGTGGCAGTTTCAGCTATAAACTTGACAAAATCTGCCTTTTTTCTTTCGAAATTGAGCCTCGTGCTATCTAGCATTGCTTGTTCTCTCGTAATATCTTCAAGCATTTTTTCCTTTCTCCATTTCATTTCTTTCATCTGCCTCTCGGATTCTATGTAATGGTCAGGTAGGCTTGAATTTGTTGAGGACTTTGAAAAGCTCACCTTCACATCGTCCCTAACACGATGGAATGCATAAAAGTAGAAATTCAGCGACAGAGAATCCCCAAGTGTTGGGACAATGACCACAGTAGAGATTCAGATTCATAATCGATGCAATCATTCAAGTTGCAAAGAAGAGATTCGTACCTATTGCCAAGATAAAAAAGTCCGCTTCTCTTAATAATACCGCCATCTAAAGAGAGTGCTCCATCAGTTATACAAGGAACGGCTTGTAGCATTTCCGCCCTTGTTTTGTAGATTTGCAGACAAGAAAATAGAGAATAAAACAGAGTCTCTCTAAGACCATATCCACTGGCTGTGAGAAAATACAAATGTGCTGTGTCTATGTTTATCATATTAACAGCATATCCAAGAAAACCAGGTGGAGAGTCCCCATTAGGAAATCTTGGCTTTGGAAGATCAAGCCTTCTTTGTGGATCAGCAGCCACAAATTCACCAGAATATGGTCTACAGGCAAAAAATAACAAAACAGTTTGTTGAGTTTTCAGTTGGAGAAGGATTCCTGAATATTTATGTCCAAAGTCTAAGAATTTCCTAACAAACATGGCATGTAAGAGACAAGTACCGCAATGTTTCGAGAGATATGACATTGAACCGACCCTCTAAAGTTCTCCCGATTGAAGCGCCAAACCCATGGAGCCCAGATGTTTTATTAATGCTTCCTTCCTTGTCATACTTTTCTAGAGATTTGACTCCATTGTATGTCTTGCAGACAATAGCCAACATGGTCTCTTTTCCTAGGTACTCTGATAAAAGGCTGTATTCCGAAACAAAAACAGAAAAGGAGAGGATAAAGAAAAACATGTAAGCAAAAGTACAGAACGGTCTCATGTTATTCATTAACTATCTTCCTATTTGAATTTTTTCCTCAGATCACTAAAATTAATAAGAACCAATAGCCATCTCTCACTATACCCGCTAATCTATTGCTAAGAACAAACTAAAACCTTATGCTATCAAACACCTTAACTTTAAGCTCAAATTCAATTTGGGAAGTTTCAAAAAGATAGTTGCAAAATGTTAGTATTATAATGAAGGTTAAAATTATCATTTTAATTCATGTAGTTTGTACTCCCTCTCAATTTGGTTTCTACGGTTTGGTCAAATCTTGCTAAACATCCTTGTTAATATTTTTCTTACATGGCACGTTTTCTTTGTACGTGGTATACCTTATAGGCTTATACTAAATATCAACTCATCATCTCACTACCACGTCCAGAAACACAAACCAGTAACCACACAAGAAAAATGTTAATTTATAGTAACGCGGGAGATTGAATCAAAGACCGAATTGATACTTTTAATACCTTTCAAATACAAACCGTGGAGACTAAAATGGTAATTCAACATAAAATGAATAGCTAGTGTTCTCATATTTGGCTCTACCATCAAGCACCCTAAACTATTCCATCCCCATGGCACATCCCACTGCCATTGCATCACATTCAAAGAAAAAAATTATGCACATGAGAGAAAACCAAGATGAGACTATGAATTTACTTGAAAAATGAGAAGCAAATGTAAGTATAAGTAAAATAGACCTGCCAAGGCTGCTGTCATCTACTTTTCCTAATTCAGCAACAACACCAAGAACATCATCAATCAGTGTGGGGTCAGAAGCAAGCATCTTTGGGTTAGTTCTCAGCTGGCACAAGATGCCAGCAGCAGTGTTTTCCTGCTCCAATATTTTTTTCTGATCTGATGCCTTATCTTCACTTTGAGTATCAGAACCATCCTTGTTCTCAATCCCAGGCGTACTCGAAAGATGGTACTTTCCTAAGACAACTGTAAGAAAATTTATGTAAGTGTTGGAAAAGACATCATTGTCTTAAATATCTACGAAAGTATGAATTTTTGTTCAGGAAGGAAATGAAAATACCTTGCAGATCAATGATGGAATCAACCAATTTGTCTTTCAGAGTCTTTAGGAATCTTATGTTGTCCTCGTGCAGCTGGATTTTCATCCCCAGAGTTTGCAAATCGTCTTGAAGTCTCTGCATGAACCAAATGAAGATAGAAAATTTGCAACTTGCCACTAAACTTATAATCTAACAAACTTAACAGAAGAAAGAGGCAAGAAAGTAATTTTTTTGAAAATAACTTCTGAGACCTTGGAACAGACGTCGATTGGATCAGCAGGAGAGAGCCCTCCATCTTGCAGCTCATTTTTTAGGACTTTCAACTTGTCAATCTGATCCAGTTTCATCAGAACAGGAGCTTTCTGGGAAAATGGATTTCTCAAGGAAAAGGGTGGAAATAAGGAAAGTGTGTTGAGAGAGAGGAAAAGTTCAGCTCTGTTTCTTCTTCTTCACATTTTCTGGAAAAATCCCATTTTCCCACCCAAATCTCCCCAAGAATTTCAGAGCTGAAGAAGCTTCATCTGCAGAGCCCAAAAAAGTGAAGTTCTTCCCTTAGGAAAATATAGTCTTGATGTAGCGAATCTAGAAAGTTTGCATATCAACACAACAATTTCAAACCCAAATCCTTATGTTCCATGAGAAAGACAGATAAAGAGAGAGAGAGGAACCTGATGAAAGTTTCAGAGAAGAAATGTGGGTTTGAACTTTGCTCAGCCACCTCTCTCAACCTCAACTCTGGTCTCAAATCCAAGACAAAAAGAGCAGTGAAAATCCCATATTTAAAATTAGAGAAAACAGCCACTGTTCACTGATCTCATCATCTTTCTTTTGTGGATTTTGAAATGTCATCAGTGACCTTCCTCGGGTGTGGTGAGTGGTGAGTGGTGAGATAAATTTATTCACAAAATATAATGCTTTATTGCATCAGGATTGTATTCCTTTTTCCTCCCTCTGAAATTTTTGTATAAAGAAAGATTTTTTCACTTTCATGTGAGCTTGGGGAAAACAAGAGAAACTCTCTCTCTTCCCAAAAAGGGCACATTTTTCTACCAAGTGAGGATGAACTCAAGGACCAAACCATTTCTAATTGCTTTTTACAGCTATGTATACGGCCAAGTTTCCAACTTTTTGAAGTACATTTTTTGGGAAGTTAATCTAACATATATGGTAGACTTTAAAATGTAAACACATTTGAAAACAGAGTGTGTTTCCTCTTTAAACCATCATATCCACCAGTAATTTTATTGGAGAGACGTTGGACTCATTTTAATTGATTTATTCTAAAGTTAGAATGTGTATCTGTATTAAATAATAAATAATAAGAATTAGAATAGTATCTGTAAAAAAGAAAAAAAAAATCAGAGTTTATGTCGTCTATATTTACTCTGATTTGTGGGAGTAGATGTAAACATTAACCTGTTAAAAAAGGGGGAAAAAAGAAAGATATAAGCCTTACAAATTTTATTTAATGACAAATTTTTTTATCCCAAAGTTTATTTAATAACTTTGATTTATAGAGTTCAAATTCCTATATTAAATATAGGCTAAATTTTATATTGCAGAGTTAAACTTATAAGTATACCATTTTACCAGGGTAAATAAGGTGAACTTTGGTTCATTCTTAATCAAAATTGGGCTCAAAATCGATTAAAAAATCCTTGTAAAATTAGTAGAACTTTTTATTTAGTACGTGAGTGTAATGATTTGAAACTCGGAAATAAAGAGTAGATACTCTTATTGAGTGCTCAACGATACTAATTTGCCAAATTGTTAATATGATTTTTCCTCAATAATTAATCATCGTCCCAATTTCATTAGTAATCAATGATATTATAGAATATTTTATACTTCATTTAATAAAATCACTCAAGTGAGGTATTATCCCTTTCGACATGAGTTTTGATTATATAATCAATATTTTTAATTTTAAACATCTGCAAAAACTACTTTTAACATTTTCTTTAGAATCAATTTATTTTGACGTTGAGGTTATGTCAACTTTAGCATAATTCAACACGCTGAGTACATAAAATAACGGATATTTGAATTTTTTTTTCATCCTTTGTTGAACTAGATGGTACATGAAATTATCTTCATGCACGACACCACTTTGTTAGGTTGGAAAAAGAGCGCGACAAAATGAGCTTGTCAGGACTCGAAGCCCATGATAAAGTCTTGGCCATCTTCCTTAATAGCCCAAATAAAGTGGATCTTTCTCTTCAAGGGCTAGCATAATTAAAATAAAATTACAAAAATTGCCACTAAAATAAATAATATGAAATATATTTTTAACAAATAACACATATTAATTATGATTACTACTATTATAGTCACGATCAATTAAATTAATAATCATGACATAAATTTAAAAAGACATGTTATGCTTTTAGGACCATTTATACTTGTTGTAAAATGTTGAAGTGATTACTATTATTACTATCGTTATCACTAAATTGAGAAGAATTCGTCAATTATAATTAATATTTGCTGTAAAATGTAAAAAACGAACGGATTGTTATTCACTATCACTCAACTGAACAAAATTGACACGTTATAATTAAGATGTAGACATTGTGGTTGAGATCTTCCATTTTATGTATGTAGTAGACTTCTTTACAAAGTCATAAGTTTCAACTAACATTCTTAAAAGAAAAGCACTTCTAACTTTATTGCTCATATTTAGTCACACCTCCTTCCCATTTTTTTCATTAATTCTTTCCCATGAATTCAAAATTATATCTATAATATAGAGAAGATAGCAGTAGCAGTAGTTCAATTGGTTAAGACTAATACCATCCACCAAATAGTTGAAGACATAAATCTTCACCCTCATATATCGTTGAACTAAAAAAAATATATAATAAATCATACTCTTAAGAAATTTGATCCCTCATTTATCAAAATCATCATATTTATAATATGAAGTTGATTATATATATAATAATGTGTCTATTTTAAAATCTACCTCCAAAATTATTTTGAGATAACTAATTAAGCAGAGTTTAAATCATATAATATTGGTACCTAAACTTTTCTATTTTTAAATGAAAAGTCACATTTGATTTACCTCTATATATCAAGTGAATATGATGATATATGAGAGTTGTACTAAAGTTTTTAAAATGTGAGAGAAGAATTCGTGTGCGATGGGATTGCTTTATGTGATGGAACCATATACTATTATTTTCCACATTATTGACCATTGGAGATCAGAAGTAGACAATACTTTTAATTTTGAAGACTTATAGGGAGAAAAAAAAATTCATTCTGTGATATGAAATTAAGGTTGTCAACCGGACGAAACTTTTTGTAGATCTTTGTGAATGTGAATTTGAAGGTTCGAATCCCCTCACCCGCAACCAATATAGCATTTTAACAATGGGTAATTAAAGTTATATGTTTTCCTCCAAAATTATCCTAATTTTTTTCTTCCGTTGTCTTTTCATGCCCATAAAGCATTATTGTAGATCCGAAAAAAAAATCAACTACTTGATCATGTAATAATCGCTATCTCAACCATATTGAGATTAATTTTTACGATCAAACTAATTTAACTAAGTTATAATAATGTATGTGAGGTAGGATTTGTGGAAATTTGAATTAACAATCTTTCTTTTATGGGGATATATATCTTTTTAACTATTGAGTATATTTATGGTTAATATATTAAGTTGCTAATCACATGATTATTACTAAAAAAAAAAGACCCCTTAATTATTTTTTAGAAAGGAAAGTATATACAAGAAGCTATCTACAATAACAATATTAAGACTACTAGGTTTTTAAATTATATTATTTACAAACTTTATTAAATCTTTACGGCACAGTATAATAACACAAAAAATGTGATTTAATTAAATTATTTCACATAGAAAAGGCATCTGTCTTGATGCAAAAGGACATTCCAACTTACAATTAATATATGTGTGTTTGGGTTTTGCAACAGAATTAGGTGATGGATTGATCAAGTTAAGAAATAAGGGAAAATTGTTCTTTAAAATTATTCCACTCTCTCAACTTTCACTCTCTTTTTTCTTCCTCTTCGTTGCTTGCAAGATAAACAATATTTTTCAATATTTTTGTGGTCTCCTTACATTTTTACCACTAAAAAATTCAAGTTCCCGATGTGGACTTAACATGGAATAATATTGAAAATAAATAATTCAAAAGATGTTAAAAGATCTACTTTTTAAATATTTTTTTTTGTAGAAAATTAAAATCGAAACCGTCCCTTACACAAAAACCTAACTTTAATGATTTTTTCTTTCAGGATAACTTTAATTAATTAACTAAGAAAGAAAGGAAGCACCGTTATCAATTTTATTATGTTGATGCTTACCATCAGTTCACTGGTCAGTCCTGAGTTGACGTAGATGGATTATCGAGGTGCTCACAAGTGAACCTGTTTAGGGAATAAACAAAATCTGACGTCCAAATTAGTTGTGAGCTCAAATTGTTTAGGTCGTTCTTAGAGGAAATATCGTACTTGAATGATAGGACAGAATGTCCCTTTTATAGACAAGCGGGGGAGACAAAGTCGTTTGGCTGTTACGACTGACGGTTACTATTGTCAGATCCCCAAGTCGATGGTCAGACTTGAAGTCGAATTCCTCAGGTCAGTAGCCATATTCCATTTCATCTCAGCTCGGTATGGATCGTGTTGTCGGGTACTGGATCCGATATGAAATGAAACTTGTACGAACAGAGTTTATGCTTACACGTGTCAGAGTCTGATTTCGACCATCAACACCATGGTTGGATGTTTAGTGCGCGGAAGAAAGTGACAGTAAGAATGCGAAGATATTAAAAAACGAAACATTTAAATATGTTTGCGAACTACAAAAGTGCTAGTTTTTTTTAGTTTAGAAAGCTTATCCTTTTATAATCTTCCAATCATATCATACTCCATTAAAGGGGTACAAGTATAAGGATTGTTGAAGGTGGTGGCAATACCATAATTAGTAAACCAATAATAGTATATTAAACCTTGGTATTACTAAATTGTGTTGTTTTGAGTGTTGAGCATAAAAGAGGGCTAGTGAGGCAAAGAGAGAGAGAGAAGAGAGGGTGGTTGTGGACACTAAAAGCCTCCACCAAACTCAAAAGGTTTCGTGTGGTTCACGTATCAAAGAAACCCCCATTTTGGCCTTTCTTTCCCCTCGTGATACCCTTAAATACCAACCGCAAACTCCCCCCTCCCTCTCTCTCTAGCTAGTACTCTCTTCTTCATCCCTCTATTTTTCTTCTTTCTTTGTTACATCTGTTCCAAAACAGAAACACAAACAGAAACAGAGACAGGGATTTTCATTTGGTGGCTGCCCCGAGATCATAATATAATATATTCACAATGGGGAAGAAAGGAAGAACAAACAGCTGGTTCTCCACCGTCAAGAAAGTCTTCAAATCTAGTACTCCTTCTTCTAACCACTCCTCCGACTCCTTCCACAACAATAACAAGGTTCGTTTTTCTTCTCCATTCTCCGACCACAAATTTCTTCATTCAAATCACTTACTTTTAAGTCTAGCTCTTGATACACGAGACTCGAGGAATCTCGATATTAGCCTACCTAACACTACAATATTTATTTTTGGATAAATTTGTAATAATCCCACCTCGGGATTTGGATTTTGACCAACCCATAATGCGTTTTCTGAGTGGTGGGTGCTTTTGCTTGAAGAGAAAGAGGGTATTGATTGTTGATCAAGGGAAGGTTTGAGATTAAAGGGGGAGTGAGAATATTGATTTACAGCCATGCATGAATGAGAAAGAAGGGAAGAAAAAGAAAGGTGGTGTTTTTGGTCCCCCATATGAGCAGAAGGAGACTCAAAAAAACCAAAAAACAAAAACAAAAACAAAAAAAGGTGTATATATGACATATTGTTATCAAACCTTGTAAGCTATCACCATCATTTATCTTCAGCCATCATGTGCATGTTGGTGGTAGATCTCCATCATCTTCCAAACATATTTTGTCTCTTTTTTCTTTTAATCGATTTTGTGTTTAACAATGTATTAAATTAATAAGCTCCTTGATTTCTTCTCACTCTAACGTATCGTTATAATTTGTTTCTATATGACTAAAAGAAGATGGGAGAAAAAATGGAGTAAAAGTGTGGAAATTGGGAGGGAATAACCCGTTTTTGTTTTTTAGTATAAAAATTCATTAATTATCTTCTAAAAGATTATCTTTATCTTTTCATTTAAGTGGAGTTATATATGTTCTTCTTTTAGAAATCATATAGATTCGATGGAGATGACATATATAATCTTTAAAGAACCCACTAAAATTTTCAGAAGGAGAATGGGAATGTGCAAAAATGGGAGCAAAATATTGGTCATCAGGAGGTTATATCTTTTGAACAATTTCCGACAGAGATTTCTACGGAAATAACCAACAACGAGAGCGTTCAATCGACTCCGAAGATTGAAGATCGAGATCATGCCATCGCGGTGGCAGCGGCGACTGCAGCAGCTGCTGAGGCTGCCGTTGCAGCAGCTCAGGCGGCAGCAAAAGTTGTTCGTTTGGCTGGGTATGGGTGGCAATCTAGAGAAGATAGAGCAGCAACCCTTATTCAAGCTTATTACAGAGGGTACTTGGTAAGTGACATGGATTAATTTTTGTAAAGTTCAAGATTGTTAGTACATTAATTGTTAGGGTGAAGATTAAGTATTAAAAACTGACCCCACGTTCAAGTTTATATTTTTGCATTTATCTCTCTCTTAGTTGTCTCTTACTTATCAAATATTTAATGGTTTAATGGTGCCGAAGACAAGCTCATTACTATTAACGAGCTAAGTATTTCAAATTTATTTGATGTGTTTATTAATTTGTGTGGTTTTGATGGTCTCATAGGCTCGACGAGCACTCCGTGCACTAAAGGGGCTAGTGAGATTACAAGCATTGGTCCGAGGCCACAACGTGCGAAAGCAAGCACAAATGACGATGCGTTGCATGCAAGCATTGGTGCGGGTGCAAGCAAGAGTTCGCGCTCGGAGGTTGCAATTGGCCAACCAAAATTATCATACAAGAATTATTGCAGAGGAAGTAGAAGATTATGAAGACTATGAAGAAAAGAAAAACATATTGAAGAAATATGAGATGGAAGGCTGGGATGGTGGGGCTCTAAGCGTAGAGAAAATCAAGGAAAATTCTTCAAGAAAAAGAGATGCCCTAATGAAGAGGGAAAGAGCTCTTGCTTATGCATATTCCTATCAGGTTTGTTCCCTCCTCTCGCCAATAATTCTCTTTCTCTATATCCTTCACCTATTCTTAGGATTTGACCACTATTGAAAAATTGACAGTTAATTGTTATATATTATAATTCTTTGTTTAATTATATTGCAGCAAGTGCAACAACATCAAAGAGGAGAAGGGATGTTAGATGAGTTGCGTGAAGAGGGGAGTGATTTTGGGATTAGGCATGAGAAGGCTGAATATGGTTGGAATTGGCTGGAGCATTGGATGTCTTCTCAATCTCAACCATATCCATATCCATATCCTCGCGAGTGCTCGTACATCACACCCGCAACCACCACCACCGCCACCGCCACCGACGACATGTCGGAGAAGACCGTCGAAATGGACCCCATTGCCCTGGCCCAACTAAATTTGGGCTCCGTGGAATCGGGCCCTGCATACTCGTCCCGACAAAAACGACAATCGATCTCGAAGAATAATGGACATGTCCCGAGCTACATGGCCCCGACCCAATCCGCTAAAGCCAAGGTGAAGGTGAGAAGCCGAGGATCGGCGTGTGAGTCGTCGAGCTCGGGCGGAGGAACAGTGGGGTACCAAGGCCCACGGAGCCCAACCCCAATCAACACTGGGACTGGGACTCCTTCCCACATGCTGCAGCTGCCCTCTGGACAACATCAACAACATTGGGCACTGCCCATTCCCCCTTGGAGGCCTGCTTTTGCATCATTCACTTAAGAAACTTAAAATACCCATATTTGTCTAATATTAAACTCTGCTCCTCCCTTCCTACATTGCCATATTTATTCATCTTGTCTTTAGATTTAATAAATAACATTACAGAATGTGGAGTTTTGTATATATTATGTACTGGGCCAGGGCCTTGTGGTAGGGGCATGTTGGTGGGCCCAGTGGTAAACCCACACACATGGTGATGGGCCAACACAGCCCCTTTGCGTAATGGACAAGTCGTGGCATCTAACCGACAGGAAGTAGCCCAAAACGTCGTGTGTCCTACAAAGGAAAGCCGAAAGGTCCCTCCCTCCATGAGCTGTAATGGGACACGACACTCTCCATCTAATCCGACATGTAGTTTCGCTACCAACAAAGTTTAACTACACCCTACTATCGAATCATCTCATATGTATCCAAACGTTCACTAATATTTTATTATTCTTCCATCGTTTCATACCCATAAATCAAACAACCCTGATATTTCTAACTATCATATCCTTCATTCATATTTCAACTTTGCCACAATTTGAGCGTAGATACGAATTTTTTTTTTTTTGGGTTAAAAGTCTTTGTGTTCACCTAACTTAAAAGTCACGTCTGCGTATTAATCAATTGGCATGTTCAGGTTAGTAGGTTATTTGTCAGTTAAGATTTTAGAGTAAAATAAGAAGACATAAATTCAGACGTAAGACATTTTATTTTAAAACTGTGTTATTTTGAATATCTAGACTTAAAAGATTCTTTGACATAACTAAAAATTAATTGTTAAGGGGATAAGTTAAGATTTGATGTTGATATTTTTAAAAATAATTTGTCCACAAGTATTTTTTATATATATTAGATATGATATAAGTTAGTTGAGAAAGTGAGATATGATGGATAAATATTATGAGGCCAAATTTTTCATTGTTATTTGGATCTAAGATTGAACGAGACCATACCAATGGCCAACTTGCTATTGTGCGAGTGTGATTGATTGATGGGTTGGTTGAGTAGCTTTAAAAACTGTCATAAATAATTCTGAAGCCTCAGTAGTCAGTAGGCTACAAAGATAAAAATAGAATTGGAATAAGCATTCAAATCCTGTCAAAGCACTATCCAATTCTGAAAACCCAATAAAATTTATCGTTCAAGGGCACAAAAACAGTGTAAAATCAACCCCACAAGGCCAATTTATGAACAGAAATAGGAATTATCTCCAAGAAAACGAAAAGGAAGACGGAGTTGTCTGTGCAGCTCACTGTTTGAGAGCCCGAAAACAAAGCGCTTTTATTTAAGTAAGATTAGAAGCAGAATGTCAGTACATGCCAGTTCAAGTGGGTCACATGAACGACGCAATAATTTACTCTTTATTTCGCTTACTTTGCCCTCGACTTCCTATGAATCTGCGACCCAGTTATAATTTCCCCCTCCTTTATTCCCATTTTGCCTCCATTTCTCATCTCTGAAAATCTCATGAGGTTGCTTTGACAGCAATCAAAGAGGCTCTGGCTCTGGCTCTGGCTCGGTAACGGACCCATTTCAAATCCCGCATTACAGAGTCCGGATTCCGAGGGCCGATCTTCAACTTTAAGATTATAAAATGCTCGTGTGGTAAGGTAAGTAATTGGGATTCTTGTGGAGGTATTGTATTAAATTTTATCCTAACTATATCGAATTGTGTGCTCTTTCTTATGCTATTTTTCTGCTTTACAGGAAGAAACTCGAGCAGTCAATTCTTCTGGACCCACGAAGAGCTTGTTGCCTGAGTCGCTCCATCATTTTGTCTATGAACTGAAAGTGATACAATTAATTGCTTCTCTCTTATAATATGCACAAGAAGATGCTCCACGCTGCTTTAACTTTCTCTGAACCACTGAAAGGTATTCTTGTATCATTTTTCTTTTGTGCGATTCAGTGATGCGTTTTTACTGGAGAAAGAAGAGTGGGTTTTTTTTTTTTTTTGGTTTTTAGCTATGAAATGGAGAATGGGTTTGGTGGGCGCCTTTGATTTGGATTGTTATTGTTTCTCTTTTGCAAATTGCAATCATCGCTGTTACTGTTTACTGTTAGCAGACCCTTTTGTGCTCCGCTTCAAAAGCTAAGAAGTAAAAGACATAATCACCTTGTGAGAACTGAAAGTAACTTGCAGATGCAGCCTTTTGAAATAGTGTTCATTATGCCTCGAAAAGGAACAATATATGGTGTAGTTCTATGCTGGCAAGCCTCTGTGGAAAACGAATAGTATTATAGAGGACTTTTTGATGCATAAAAGTTGCCTTTTCTCTTCAGTTTACATGTAGTTGTCACTGATAGCCAGAAAACCTTGTGTTTCCTTTATCAACCAGTCACGACCTGCGATAGAGAAAATTGGAGGAGATGGGGTTGGGGGAGATGGAAAAGGGGAAAAGCAAGTGGGGAAACATTGTAGTCTGTCTTTTCCCTGAAAACCAGGGACAATTCTCTTTTATTCTTTTTCCTTTTAATTATTGTATTGTGTTGTAGCTTAGCATCTACATGAATGTTCTGCAGACTCAAACATATGTAAAAGCAGCCATGTTTTTGGCATTTCATGGCCCGGTTGATAACCCCATAGCCTCAATCCATCATATATATTACAATTTTATGATTTGGTGATCTGATGCTTCATGATATCCCGTAGTAATTGCTGCTCTTTCTGAGTTCTATGATTTCCCCCTCTCTGTAACGGACGACCTAAGTTTTTCCACTTCGATAAGCCCTCATCCTGTCCTTCTTTCGTCTGTAAGTTTTTTATATTGTGCTGTTTCCACGCTTCAATTCTGAAATGCTTGTGGACTCTCTAGCATTGAAAACTGCTTCCATCATCTAATCTTCATAATCTGTTTGGTCTTTGTCCAATGCCTTGCTTTCACTCTCAAAGTCTTGTTTCTTATGTATATAATGTATGTTTGACCTGTCGAAGCTTTGTTAGTGTATGCTCGACACTTTCTTTTCTTCTATACTAATCTTTAGTTCTTCTGTAATAGTATATTCAAAGGAGGAGAAGAACCACAGTATTAAATAATGGATGAGAAAGAGGTCTCCAACTCACTAACATTTATCTCTGAAGAGAAGATCAACAGTTTATCTCCTATGTATGTCGGTGTTTCTTGCGCATTCTTTGCTCTTCGGCTCTTGTCAACATCAGATTGCAAAGACGAAAAATGGTCTGAAGTTCGGGAAAAGATGCTGCAAGGAAGTGCCCAACTCTTGGGATTGTTAATATGGAGTGCTCAGAGAGAAGTGGATAGGCAAAGGCCCGTTCTTCATCTTAAGCTCGAGGCTGCTGAGAGAGAAATAGGAGAGTTGAAAAGAATCAGACATGAAGATGCCAAAGCCAATGAAAAAGTTGTTTGCATTTTTGCTGCTCAGGAGCAACGGTGGTTGATTGAAAGGAAGAAGCTTCGCCAACACATTGGAGCTTTAATGAACGATGCAAGGCTTCTTGAAAAAAAGGAGGAACTTATAACTGAACTGAATGAAAATTTGAAGCAGATGGGGATGTCATTGGAGTCTAAGGAAAAGAAATTGGAGGAAGAGATTAAAAAAGGAATCGATTTGGAAGAAAGACTGTCGAAGGCTGAAAATATAGCAGAGGAATTGAGAGACACTGCTAAACGCGAGGCCCAAGAGCATTCTTCTGAACTTTGGAAGCACAAAACTGCCTTCATTGAGTTGGTCTCAAACCAAAGGCAACTCGAAGCCGAGATGGCCCGTGCAGTTAGGCAAGTTGAAGCATCAAAAGAAGAGCTTGATTCAGTTTTAGAGCAAAAGGAGGAGTCCGTAATGTTGGTACAGAAACTATCAGCTGAGATTGTTAAGATGCGCAAGGATTTAGAAGAGAAAGACAAGATCTTGTCAGCAATGCTGCGAAAATCCAAGCTGGATACAGCACAGAAGCAAATGCTCCTTAAGGAGGTAAAGCTGTCCAAAGCTAAGAGGAAGCAAGCAGAACTAGAAGCAGAAAGGTGGAAGACAATCTCAGAATCTAGACATGAAAGACAGTCACTAAGAAGTATGTTATCCAATCAGGTCAATTCAGGATATGATGTTCCTATGATTGTCGGGGACAAGCATTCAAATAAAAGCGTGCTCCCAAATAATGGGAAGACCATATCAAAGCCAACTGATATTTATATTGACTACAATCATCCAGAGTCAGTTGAGTCGAATAATTTCCCTTCCCTTGCTGAATGTATTTCCCCAGAAAGGAATGATGACTCAGGTAAGAAACTTAAATTTTCTTTTAAGAGAAAAATAAATGTATATGCGATATATGCTAGTATAATCATAGGCCGATGGTTAGATCACCCACTCTGCAACTGATGCTAAAAAAATGCATGCATTTACATAGCTTATTCTAGTATACACTTTCCTCTTGGTATTCTTTCTTATTTTTAGCTTAATATCACTTAATTCGAGGTCCCTTTGACTTTATTATTTACCTTTTCTTTTTGGGTTCATCTATGGATCTGAAGGGCGAATGATTGATGTCAAGCAGATGGAAAAGTTGGTATGCTCCGAGGCAGAGAAGTACGTACAAATACTTCAGCAGAGACATGACCTAGAAATAGATGCATTTGCAGAGCAAATGGGGATGAAAGATGAAAAATTAGAAGTTTTTCATTGGCAAATGCTCAGCTTAGAACTCGAAGCAAAGCGGCTTCAGTCCCATCTTGCTGGACAGAATCAAGAGGTTTTGCAGCTTAGACATGAGAATATGAAATTAAAAGCTCTGTCAATGGAGAGAGAAGAGGAATTAGCTTCCTTGAAAGACCAATTGGCATCACAGTTTAACTCTCAAGGTTACCAAATGGCGAAATGGGATAGGCCAGTTGACAACAATGGCACGTGGTCGGATATCAAGATTATAAAGATAAAACCGGGAGGAGAAGAGCAACAGACAAATAAAGATTCGATCGGAATGATAAGAGAGGATGCTATTGAGAGAGAAGAGGATGCTATTGAGAGAGAAGTGGATGCTACCAAGAGAGAAGAGGCTGCTCGCTCAAACCTTGTTGAGGATAGAAATCCGTTAATACAATCTCCAGGAACTGAATTTGAAGATGAGAAAGAAATTGCTTGTCACAGTCCCATTCAAGAAGCAAACACAAGTAGTCCACGGGAGGTTGATAATGCCAAACAGTTGGCATCGATTGGATTGCAGTTTGGAAGAACTTATAGTACACAATGGAGGATGGATATTCATGCTCTAGGGGTGTCTTACAAAATCAAAAGGCTGAAACAGCAATTTCTTTTGCTTGAGAGGCTCGTTGGAAAACAAGAAACTGCTCAAAATACCGAAAGCGTGGATAATGTTCAAGTTGGCATTAGAGAATTTCTTTTGTTTCTGACATTGCTGAATAAACAAGTGGGCAGGTACAATTCTCTGCAGGAGAAAAATGACGAACTCTGCCAAAGGATGGTAAGTTCAGGTCCTAATTTAGTCATATTCATAAAGGTTCTGTATTAAATTCATTCCTGATTTTTCTACTTTTTGGAGATTCGCCATCTCTTCGTTTATGAAGTTTTTACTTCAAAGTATTGGAATCTTTTATGAAGCTGTGTGCAACTAACTTTCTGATAATCTCTCTGTGGTTTGCAGCATGATTATGAGGCGAGTGTAAAATGTGGAGATTCTAAAGTAGTAAGAACGAAGGGGAAAACAAAAGCACTAGAGAACTTCCTTGAACAGACATTTCAACTACAGAGATATGTTGTTTTAACAGGACAGAAATTGATGGAAATTCAATCCAAGATCAGCCCAGAATTCGCCAGGGTTGCTGACCAACTCGAAAAGTCTGGTAGCTTTGACATCAAGCGCTTCGCCAGTAGTGTTAAAACTCTCTTACAAGAAGTGCAAAGAGGTCTAGAGGTTCGGATAACTCGAATTATCGGAGATCTAGAGGGAACCTTGGCTTGCGAGGGTATGATTCAACTAAGTAGGTAGTTATAAAACTGTATCTTACTCAATAAAATTGATTAGTCATGTATGATTTTGTGTGTTCTTTTTCTGAATTTGTATAGTGTAATTACTATTCCAATGTAATGAAAAATGTCATAAGTTTGTTCTTCAAAGTTGCTCAAATCAGCCTGAATTGATAATGGTGATAAATTCCACAGGAAATCTGATGAGTTAGGTGATGGGGTGTGATATGATAACAAAGGTTTGGTCCCACGAACCGACTCAATTTGATCAATATTTTTCAGTTTCAGCTTGCACCACTAATCTACTGTCTTCTGAGAAGAAAGATGGTTGCTTTTAGAAAATTCTCAGGAAATTCTGCCATAGAAATGTTTAAGATAATCTCAGTCGTTCCT